TCCTTCACTTCTTAAGCAATTCAATCCAATCCAATCCAATCCAATCCAATCCAATCCAATCCAATCCAATCCAATCCAAACTCCAAACCCCGAAAACTCCTCTTTCTACTCCGCTCTTTACTCCGCTCTCCCCTTCCTCTTCCCTTCCTCTCCTCTTCCTCTCCTCTTCCTCTCCCCTTCCTCTTCCTCTTCTTTTCCTCTCCTCTTCCTCTCCTCTTCCTCACTCCCCTCTCTCGGACTTAACACTATATATCTTCCTTTAATATTATATACCATATACCATATACCATATACCATATACCATATACCATATACCATATACCATATACCATATACCATATACCATATACCATACACCATACACCATACACTATACAATATACCATATATCATATACCATATACCATCAATCTCATTCATCCCCTTCATCCCCTCCATCCCCTCCACCAACCACTTCACAGCCCAAATCCCAAATCCCAAATCCCAAAGCCTTCACATCTATCCAACCATTAAGAAAGAGTAAATATCTAATAGTAACGAGTATATGTGATTGTAGTACATCCCAACATCCCCTCTTTTCACAGATATATCTATAATACCCGGTACCAGTAAATAAATTTTCAATATCATATACTACTGCGTTACCACACGATCAGAAGCGAAAAACCTCATCGGTGGAATAGGTAGTGAAAGAAGCAAAATTAATTTGGATTTAAAAAGCTAGATACATACAGCAGATAGCAAATGGGTATATCATTACCCTCCTCCCCTCTTGGATTGTAAATTGTAAGAAAAATTGAAGAAAATTCGTAACATCGTGTCTTCCGTATTGGAAATCCTGTAGTAACATCCGGCAATACATTTTCCCCCTTGTTTCCTCCAGCTATCTGTAATTCGCCTTTCCCGTAGCTATACACTGCAAGAATGCATCTATACATTCACTACTCTTCTTGAAGAACGTCCACATTTTAATTCTCCTCCAGTGTGGAAAAGATTCGACGTGAAGCAATATTAACCCTTTTTCTTTCCGGAAGCAGCCTGAGAATACATGTCCATGTGACCGATATTCTTATAACTGCCCACCTTGGGCGCGGATTCACTCAGCGAAGCCAAACTACCTGGAACAGGTCTAGAAGGTGCATCATCGTCTTGCCAAGGAGTACGACAATAAACACAAGTGACAGATCCACCATGCTTACTAGCTTTCCATTGAGCGAAACAATCTTTGTGGAAGTTTTGACCACAAGCTGCTTTACACCAAACGATGTCCTCGGTGGCAGGATCCATGTCGAAGACACAGATGGGACATTCGCCTTCGATGGGTTTACGTTTGCCATTGTAGTTACTTTCATCCTCGGGACCGGCATTGGGGTCGTGTCCGTCAGGTGCACGGGTGACGGGTGCGTTGGCCCAGATGAACTCCAGTTCATGGGATAAGAATGCTTGTTGGTAACAAAGATGCATGGGCGCCTTATAAATGATTATCAAGGCATCTATTATCTGTTAGCATATGGCTAGATGCGAATTAGAGTGTGGAGATACTTACAGTTAATATGCTTGCATTTTTGACCACGAATTCTCTGATTTTGGGTCAGTGTTGATTCATCAAAGGGGAGAGTGGCACAACTTACTGCATCCATACAGGTACAACTTGGAACGCGTCCAATCTTGGTTTGATAAATATTACCGGTGCTACCCGCAATATCGAAATCCTCATGATCTCTTCCATTGATCTCGGTAACTTTCTTCCTGTTCAACATGAACATACGCTCCTTTTTGATTCGCTTGACCTTATCTTTGAACTTGGCATCAGGCTCTGCAACAAATTCTCTCTCCCGTCTCTCTCCAGTACGAGTATCAACGTTTTGATAGATGACGACATCAGATGCAAGTTGTCCTTCAATCACAACATCAGGACTCTTTTCTCTCTTGGCTCTCTTTTTCTTTGGTGGTTCATCAGAAGTGGTAGAAGGACCAGCTTCAGCAGGAGGAGGTTGAAGGACAGGAGCTTCGGGTTCATTATGCAATGCTTCCTCATCGGATGCTTGAAGACGTGCTACCAAATCTGCTTTCTTGCCAGTCTTTGGGAGTTGACGACGCTCGAGTTCAGCTTTCAAGTGAGTGACAACATATTGACTCCAATCGATTGCTTCGACTTCCTCAACTTCTACAACGGGACGTTTGGCACGAGGCATAATGAATTGACGAAAGAGTTTTCTTGTAGGAAGTATGGAATATTGATTCAAGGGAGTGGTAGAGTAAGTTGATGATTGATACAATTGTAGAATTGAGCGTGACAGGAATGAATATGTGTGTGAAGAGTATGAAAAAGGAATCAATGAAATGTTTGAATTTCGATGAAGAACCATTCAATTACTTATACTTTTTGAGAAAGGGATTCTCATTGAAACATCGAAAACGTGAAGTCTGTGATGAATCCACGTTTGTTGTATGTTAAGGTGAAATGTTTAATGAGAGAGACGTGTGAGGTGTGGCAATGGAGGAGGTAGCCTGAAATACCCCACTTTTATCCAGGCAGAAGTCAGGGTTTAACACGAATTGGGCAGGAAACCTCGTGATCTGATGAATTATTGGATGACTAAGCTGCGGTTGATCTTAAACTTTACTCAAGTCAACCTGGAGTGAAGCTTGGAAATGAAAAGCATCACTGAAATTAGATTAGTTCAAAAAAAGATGTCTACAACCATGTTTCATTGCTTTCTCTTATTTTATCGAAGATTCGAAAGAAAATTGGATTGGATATAGTCTCAAGCAATGTCACAGAACAGAGCATTGGAGCTATTTCTTGTCAAATTCCTTTCTGCTTTTCCTGTCTACCACTACTATTACAACATCATCTCTTCTCTCTGGCCAAGGGTTTTTACTCCGAAAAGGTAATAAAATTGAATGGAAATGGCTCATGAAGTTGGCCAATATATCTGCCTTTCAAAGAGCTAGAAGGATGTGAATATCGCACGAATAACTTCATACATTGGTATGCACCATGCAGTGCGTGTGTATATCTAGACTTGGGACAAGAGACCCAGCGAATGCTCAAGTGAGCCGATTTTCAAGTGGATTTATTTTATCCGGATTTCAAGCATCAAGTTCATCAAGGGACTTCTTTTCGGCACCTATCTTCTCTATTTAAGCTCTCCACCAATTGACTTTTCCAAAGCTTGTCTCAAATGGAAAGCCAGAAAAATGGCAAGACAGTAAAGATTTCTGCTATTAACCCAGCCACGGAGGTAAGATCTTACATGGTTCAACTACCGACATCATCAACACTCAGGATTGGACGAACAGGCTAGGATTTCCGCCGAGCAGAAGACTACTACTATTGCACACCTTTCTATCACTCATCGTGTTGCTATATATAACATTAATGAGCCCAAAATATCATTGAAATGGTTTTAGAATGTAGCTCCTGATGACGAGGAGACTCATGCATCGCCTAAGCCTCTCATTGAGGTGCTTGGGACTATTCTGAATATTCTAAATCTGTCATGAAAGTGGGAAGAGAAAAGAAACATTGACCAGGACTAACGGCGGACTTTGAAATGAGAAAATTCTTTTAATGTTCCATTGGTTATACCTGATACGCCAGATCTGAGTAAAATTGGACGACGAAAGTCTTCGTGCCGCTGACGTTGAAGCGGAACATGATAAGACCACCGTCAGACCCACTCCCTTGGAACAATACATATTGTTTACACAGCTCTCTAAACACTAAAAAGCTGCATACTAAATGATTCCTGCCAGTACTATCACCTTGACCGCTATCATCGATTTTCCTGTACTTAGACTTAGAAGAGGTAAGCAATAGAAAACGACATTACCAGGAATCGATACGAAACGAGCCCACGAGCCCACCTTTCGAGTGATTATGATATTCCATAAACCGAACACAATTTGCTACGGGCTATTCCTCAATGACCTAGTCCAAAGTCACCGATAGACCCAAAACCGAAGGCGCAACGTCTGTTTTATACAATTTGTTGGTGCAGATCTAGTTGAGTGTAGGGTGTCCGACGATTCCGTGTTCAGTGAAGGGACACAAGTGTAGGTGTTGGTATCAACTTGGTTGATAAGTGTAAAGTACTTTAGTCTATTATGGTTGTATTCGTTCTTGATCATTATTGTCTATGGGAAGCTAGTATTTAATATAGTAGAAGTGCTAGCGCTAGTGCATACGCTAGTGCAATACAGTGCCCTCTTTTAGATCACATGATCGATATCCCGACAGCAGGATATCTGACGCGTGAATGGGATTCATGGACATGCAGAGTCCGTATACGAAGCTAGAGAATGTAAGATTTTTGGAGGCGGGGAAGAAGGGAAGAGGGCCATCGCGGAGGGGCTAAAGAGACTGGAGGGTGACAGAAGAAGAACTCAGGGAGTGACGAGGGCAAAGAGGTCGATTGCGGGGAGGAGCGTAGGCAAGCTTTGAATCATGGTATGAGCGCTAGCAGTCTTCTTTTGGGTGGAAACTCTACCATGTTGGAGCATTCTGGAACTTGAAGGTTATGAAAGGATAGAAATAGTGTTTGAGATCCACACAGAGCAGATTTGTATGGAATTCGAGGATGATACTGTAAGTTTGTATATAACTACTATTACTACATTGTTTGTCTTGTATACATAAGAATCTGGATAGTCTAGAAGAGTTAACTAATAAACAATCACATCCGAAATTCTACCCTCTGTGACTGAAAAAACCAAGCCTCCCCTTTTCCTGTCCCGAGGAATAAAGGGTTTTCACTTATATGGCTCAATTTGTATGTGCTTGAATGTTTGGCTTGTTGTTGAGATGTTTTGTCTATCATTGATGAATTAATTTATGTGGTGGTCTTGAAGATGAGATCTGAAAATATTGAAATCGTTTAGGATGACATCTGGAATAACCACCTCGGGCCGACATTAATCCGAGCTCAAACAAGCACTCCCCGTGACCATCTAATCCACTATTTCATGATTGGTGAAAACACGAACTTGTCACCAAGCGTTCGCGTCTCCTTCACATTTCTAATTACTTCCACAGCTCTTTCAATACTCACCACCTTCAAGGAGCTGCGCATTCATTTTCAACTATTCTAAGTCAAGGTCGTCTTCTATTGCGATTTTTTTATATTTCAATTGAGTTTCGAAACTGTCAGGAAACGACCACAACCTATTTTGCGCATATTTGAAGCTTAGTCGCAATAATGCCTCCCCGTAAGTCGCACAAATCATATCTCATCACAGAGTCTTGGAGATACAATCCAGCTGGATTTCCATGAAAGATGTCTTTTGAATTGGTATAACTAAATGACCCGCGCTCGCCTTTTACAGAAATTACCGATGACGAGCGTTCGGTTTCCGATGCCAGCGAACAAGAATTTGAAAAACAAGTAAAGGGAAAGGGCAAGCAAGAAGAGTCGGAGCCTGCAGAAGAGTTGAGGGTTGAATCGGATGAAGAAGGCGATGAGGAGCAAGCAGAAGATGAGTATGCAACGGCCTTACTTGCAATGTTTACATTCAGTCACTAACCCATGGGCAGATACGTGGTTGAAAAGATTTTGAAGCATTCTTTTGATGAGGAAGTCGGTGAACCCACCTTTCAATGCTATGATGGAGATTTCTAACACTTTTGAAGGGCGTTTTGAGATTCCAGGTTAAGTGGGAAGGTTACGAAAAGAAGTCGGATATGACATGGGAGCCGGAAGAGAATTTGTAAGGTTCACTCACTCCCTCTGCCATTACTTGACTGACATTGATTCTTCAGAGAGACTGCGCAAGACATCTTGAACGCGTATCTCGAGACTGTAGGTGGTAAAGAACAATTGATCGAACAATACAATGAGAAGAGAGCAGAGGCAGCGGAAGCAGCGGAAAAGAAGCAATCAAAGAAGCGTGGTCGTCCAAGTACTGGTGTTAGTACTCCTCAATCTAACGGAAAGAGGTCAAGAAAGAATGGCCACCCCGCCTCGTCAACACCACCCGCATCCCGAGAAGCAGCTACATTCAAACCACCACAAGGAAGTTGGGAGGATGATGTTGTCACTATTGAAGCTATGGAAGGACCTAATGCGGAAGTTATTGTATACTTGACATGGAAGGGTGGAGCTAAGTCACAGCACCCATTACACCAAGTTTACAAACGTTGCCCACAGAAGGTAGAGTCTCCAATTATTCAATTGAGTATCCCGAGCTAACCAGAAAAACAGATGCTCAGTTTCTACGAAAGACATTTGTGCGACCCCTTCACATGACTCCTCTCACATACCACGCTAACATAATCACAGGGTTTTCAAAAAGACTGAAGAAGAATCATAAATGGACCATCTCACAATCGTGAGCGAGCAAGGAAACAGGTCTTCGCAAATTCTATACCTCCCAGCCGATCAGATTGATCATTTATCTCTGGTTTCGTGTGTCATGTCCACGCCGCCAGCCCACCCGCAAAATCTCCGCATCCCCGAAGCATTTTCTTCCAGAGAAACTCCGAAGAAACAGAGACCACGTCCATATTAGTCATCTGTTCTCTACTTCATAACTTTTCTTTTCATTGGCACTGAATGTGCACATGTGATGGGATTCTGCATACTCAAACGTCATTTCTGCATCCATCATGTTTGGGGTTTGCATTTCCATGTACCGTTTAGCAGGAGTTTGCGGTCAAGCTCGTCAGTAGGAAGACTTCAGGTTACTCAAATAATATCGGAAGTGGTGACCTTTACTTTTCTTTTGGCTTACTTCACACTATTAATGGCGCCGTTTGTATTTTTAGGGGGGGAATGCCTGGAGAATAAATAAGTTGAATAAAATATGAGCTGTGGTTTTTTGAGGTTGTGAAGACAGATGAATTTGTGAAGGTGATGATCGTGAGATATGTTCATTTTAAGGCGTTTATCTTTGCTTGCTTGAAGTTTGGTTTGCTTGGTTTTGCGTGGTTTGAGTAATCATTGATTGTATGTCAAATCACTAGTTTGCTGATGGGGAATAGGAACAATGATATTCATGTGCATGTATGTGTGGTCTTGTGAAGGTATCATGCTTATTAGATGAGAATATATAAGAAGTGTGTGTGTGTCTGTGCGTGTTAAAAATATCCCAGTGGATCGCATGGATAGGGATTGAAGACGGAGAGTTGGCAGTTCCGCCTAGGGCGATTAAGGTACGAGATAAAGCGTGCTCGTCTCCTTCATGGAACTCTTGCTTGATGGTATTTTGGGATAGGATCGGTCTCTATTTTCATAGATGGGTAGATAGAAATGCATTGGGAAGACATGAAAGAAATCGTGGGTAGATGGGCTCTCGATGATCACTTTGCTATTTATTCGTTTTTTGGTGATATTTTGGATCGTTTGGATATATCCGGGGTTAGCAAATAAAGCTCAATATTACTTTCTTGATCATTTTCAAGGAGATACGGTTTAATGTCACTTTTGCTGACTGGGGAGTGGAGATACGGTTTCTGATACTAGCGGCATGTCACAACGTTCATCGCTTGTACATCACTGAACACGATATTCACTGCAGCTCCAAGATTGATAAGAATAGCGTCTATACTATGGATATTTTAGATGGCGGTACAGCTTAATGATACTATCTTTGGCTATGGAGCGCAGAGATATTGAGGCGCTAGACAACTCGGTACGGGTTCTAATAGCAGCAATGTGAGTGACTTGACCAAAATTCAAAATGTTTCTTATATCTACAGTATTCTCTCAGGCTCAACCAATACCAGCACTAATAGGATGTGCATAAATCTACATGTTTAAATCGTCTAGGATTTCTGTACGGCTCTACATGCTATTGTCGTTGCTGTATTCTTAATGATATTCAGTACCGTTTCGAAGAAGTTTTATTTTAGAGAGACTTCTAGGAGAAATTCTAAAAGGTATTTCAGGATCAGAATGATTGCTCTTGAAGACAACATCTTCATCTGGTTCTTCTTCATTTCAAAGACAACTTGATTAAAAGATACCTACTTGTGACAAAATCAATTCGCACTTTTGTCATTCACTACTTTCGCTTTTCGATCAGATCAATTTCTACTTCTTATAAACGTCTCAATACTGCGAACACACTTTGACCACCATCGAAATTTCTTTTTACTCACACCATTTCCAGTCAACTCATACCTTATTGTCAAAATGAATTCCAACAATCAACTTTCCATTTTTGGCCCTTCCTCATCATTGGCTATCGAAGCCTTTAACGAACGTCGCGCCGCCCAGCAAGCAGAACGAGAGGATCGCGAGGAGCGCGAATCACAAAAGGAGCTGACCCACAAAAGCAAGACGGTCATCTTGAGAGTACCTGCCGCTGAACTTGATCCATCGGCTAAGCCTAGCTTGATATTGAAGTTCAACATCAATTTCAGACCCAGAGCCGCATGGAAGGAGATCCCCAACGAAATGCGATTTTCGATCCTCAAGTTTACTTTCCCTGGCCAGAGAATGTTCGACTTGAACCTTCGGCCCTGCGTTTTGATCGATCCAAGTTTTGCTGTTCGCAGCGCTATCGATGATCAGACGACCGAACAGCGCAACCTGAACTCCGCTGCGCATGCTGCAGCTAATGGTCAGGGTAATGTCCGCGCTAAGCCACCAATAGCACTATTCATCAATAGGGCAACTCGACAATATGCGTTAGAGAAGTACAAGCTTTTGGAGCAGCCTTTAGCAAATTTCCTCGGTACTTCTGAAAAACCAATCGGCCGCGCGTATTTTGATCCCGAAGTCGATATTCTGTACGGTAAATCACAGATGACATACATAGCTCCAGACAAGCAAGAGGGCCCGAGGGTTAATTCTTTCAAAAATAAAGAACTGATCCAGCGCATTGCCCTTCCGTATGAGTATTTCTCGACTCTCAATTACGATGTTGGTCGTCGACCAGTCCTGTTGAAGTACACGTCACTCAGAGAAATCATCGTGCTGGTTCAGCACTTGCACTGCTGTATCCACGGCAATGAAACTCGAACCTCGCTCGGAATACGAGGAACGCAACATCCCAAGGAACACTATGTCGAGATGTTCAAGACCATGATGGAAGGCAAGTGGGCTACTGCTATGGCGCAGTCTTGGGGATCTTTTCCGTCGGTGAGATATGCGGGGACTTGCGATTGCGATAATACTCCGTCCAGGAGAATAGTTCGTAGTTTTTAGTTAGTGCTGGGGTGGAGATGAGAAATGGGGGGGTGCGCGGATGGAAAAGGAGGTGTTCGGGAAAGGAGTGGGGTTGATGGATTACGAAGTACAAATTCTCACATGGTTTTCTTCGACGTGAAGGATAAGACACTCATTTTGAGTGTTTACAAGGGATTTGGTTGCTGTGGGGATTTGTGTTCAAAGGATCATAATTCCGCAGTTATTTTAATCATTGGTATACAATTCATTTTCTCAGCCTTGTGATGGCAATCATCTAGGCTTTCGACGCTACCGTCGATGAACCCCAATTGACTCTCTTCGTAATGTGGTACTACTTGATATATATGCTGATAACAAGTGACGAATTTCTCCCTTTTTGTGATTAGAAGTGACATTCCCAGACACTGTGTTGGGGTTCATGGTGATACATATTCGAATGAGCGATGAAAGGCTAAATAATCATTCTGGTTGATCTGTCCAGGGGAGAATATTGACAACGCTATTTAAAGCTACAAAAATATGAATGTCCTGCTAATGAATTTAGCGAAGTGTGATGAACGATGGGATTCAGACAGAGTCTAGCGAAGTCGTTAAAGATTTTTGTGAGAAAGATAAGACAAATCTTTCGACATAGAGTGAGTCAAGTACTATTCACGCAGGTTAATTGCATATAGTTTCCAGGGAGGGTTGGAGGTGAATATGTAATCTCAACAAGCATATACGTAACAAGAGCATACTAGCACCACTTGTCTTGTTTGAACTTCAAAATCCAAACAGAATAGTATTCGCATCAGTTACGAGATATTAACGATACATAAACTTCATAAGAATTGTTAAAACAGATCCCAGATAACCCATCGACTCCTAAATTCCATAGTGGTATCTCGCCCCCCTACAAATAAAACCCCAATGACAAAATTGTGAAGAGGTTTCATAACGTCATGATGCTCAAAGAAAAAAATGATGTGGATGGGCCTCCTACTTCCCCACATCATCCATATCATTCACTCTATTTTTTGCATCACCTTCATCCTCCTCCTCCTTGTCTTCACTCCCCGTCTCCTCATTTTCACCCTCAACAACCATCTCCCTTTCCATTTCTCCCGCTCTCTCCCCTTTCCAAATCCCTACTCCCATCCCCGCCACTCCACACACAATTCCAAACTTGACACCCCAATTCACCCACGCTCCCCATCTTTCAACCCATTCCACTCCTCCTCTCACAACAGGACTAACCATCCTGCTTCTCTCATCTTCCAAGTCTGGATTCATCGTCACCAATAACATACAGCCGACTCCAAAAATAACCGTCAGCATAATAGCCGTATAAACTTGTACTACTGCCAGCAGTATGGCAATATTTTTAGTCGTCTTGAGGACTTCAAAGCCAGATGCTACTAATGGATATCCGGCTGCGACGAGAGGAGTGACTTCGGTTTGGAGTCGTCGCATCATTATTTGCGATTGGTCGAAGGCGGAGTGGATCTGTTTACTGTATGGAATACCCATTTTGGAAAGTGGGATGAGCTTGACTTGTGTTGTTGATAGGGCTTGTGTGGTGGGGCTAGATACTGGGTATGTATTATTCAATGTAGCCTTAGCGATTTTTGTACACGAAACGCGAGGAGGTTGAAAAATTATTCTGACGACTATATATGTATACTCAAAATCTCATCTGCAAATTTTGATTCCTATCCATTTCAAGGAATCGTGGTGTTAATATGCTTTATTAAACTTTCTCTTCTCGAAGAGTGATGTCAGCGCGGGAAGTTCACGATGGCTTTTTCAAGAACCAATCATAAGCTGAAGCGAGCGAACCTGGTGAACTCAAAACAGGAATTGCATAACTTGTTCAGTTAGTTATTACTTTGGATTGGCTGGATTTTCGACCACATGGTCGGAAAGTTTTCAGGATAAATTCTTAAATTCCATGGGAATTTTCAAATGATTGCACTGATCATAATTTCAGATGACAATGGATTTTTGAAATCGTTTTGAGTTTCGTTACTGGATGACATAATCACCAAGCGAGGTCCACTGGTGGTCATCGTTCCATTTACATTTTGTGGTCGTGGAGTTCTTTGGGAAGTATTTCTTTAGAGAAGCATGTAGTATTGCATCTTTATATAATTTCGACAAAGGTAAAAAAAAATGAAAGTACCTTCGTTATATCAAACGGAACAAACTCTGGTGACAACAAGAGGAAGTATCTCCGGAGAACGTGTTGTAAAATGTCGTGGTAGTAAACTTTGAATATTTTAGCGAGCAGTAACCTGCAGCTCACCCCTTTCGAGATGTATTGCGCAAAAACGATACACAAATACCGTAACTCATATCGTATGGTAACTAATCTGGAACGGTCCTAAATTCGATCGATGTGTTTGCCAACATGATGCCCTAGGTCAGATACGGTTGTATTGACCGTATCGAAAAGTAGCAAACCCAGACCAGGTCCTATATAAGTACCTCAAATCTCCCAGTCAATCTGGATCCTTCTATAACACATCAGAAAGTCTTTCTACAGATACTTCAGCACAATTCTCTCTTCAAATTTTAGAATACAAATCTAAAACTTCCATCCTCTTAATCTTCATCATTGACAAGAGTTTTCAATCAACTTCGACTTCTCTTCATCACTCAATCAAAAGAGAAAATCTTGTCCATCTATTAGACCATGTCATACTCGTGGAATAACGCAACTGCCATCGCAGGAAGAACAAGCCAGGCATCTGGAGACAACTCCAGCATCTTGCACACCATGCTCGTCACATTGGGCGCCTTGATTGTTTTCGGAATACTGGATAACATCAATCCATTGTGGAACACATTGGGTCTCCAATTACGTCAGGAGAGTTACGAACCTCTAGAGCCTCAGGAATATATCACAATTGAGAGTGATCAAGAGGCTTCAGATGAAATCACACTCCCCATGATGCCACCGAAAGTACCCAGAAGAAATACCAGGGGAAGAGGCTGCAAGAAGGCTCGGGATGAAGAGCCCCCCATGACACCAACAACACTGAGAAGAAGCAGCAGGGTTAGAGAAAGAGAAGCCAGAAATGGACTTCTTACCCCTGTGTCGACTCCGACAACACCGATGAGAAGTGCCAAGGCCAAGGGCAAAGGCAAGACGAAGAGCCTCAAGAACAAATCTATTGATGATTTTTTCGAGCCAGTTCCAAATTCAACGGGCCAGAAGAAAGTGATCAAGGGTAGAGAAAAGCAAATCGTGCTTGACGAATATGAGGCTTTCATGAATGAGCCCGAGGAGGAGAAAAAAGTTAAGAAGTCATCAGAAGATGATTTCGATTATGAGGGATATTCCACCCCATGGACTGCGACACAGCGAAAGAATGTCAGCAAGGGGAAGTTCGGAAAGACCCCAAAAGGAAAAGCGCAGAAGGGCAAAGCTTAGTCTAAAGGACTGAGCGCAGATGCGCAGGTTGCCAGCTTGATGACTGGTTTTTTTTTTGCAATTGCGATGCGTGATACCTGGGATAAATCTCAGAGAGTTTTTATGAGGCAGTGATGAACTTTTCTAGGATAGGGAATTTGAGCCTCGACTCTTAAGTTCGAAGAATATAAATTTTTACCTTCTAACAACCATGTTGATCAAGTGAATGAGCTGTGAGAACTTATGTGATCTGTAAATGTCAGTAAGCAATGGGCGAGCATCAATGGGCGCTCCTATAGATGTTTTTGCATTTACTATCTGCTATTAGAGTTTCTTCTAAATACTAGAAACTTATTCATCCGAAGAAAAGTTACTCGAATAATGAAACCTTCAATTCGTGACAAAATAGTGCATCTTCGAGAGATTTAGTTTGATTCAATGATTCACTCATGCAGTAATGAAAATAGCGTCATAGTAGCTAGAATTAATGTTTTCTCATATTATAGAAAGCCTCATTAACGGTAATACTCGAGTGATATACAGAAATTAGATTTCAACGATCTCAGGCTCACTTCCTCAGATTTGCTTAAGCTTCTTAAAAAATCAATCAATTCCGGAGAGATTATCTTCGACATTGTATACATGGGAAGTAACTTGTTGAATTCCACTCTCTAAGATCTCATGATATAGAGTTCAATGACATCTATTCAAATAGATATATCATGTAAAATACATACGTCTTAGTAGAGCGGGACTTGTATGAAATATCTCAAATACCACTCAATCCCAGATATGTAAAGCCTGAATAATGCTAGTATCGGCATTAGAAGCCTCGGTAGTAATGGTAAGTGAATTGAAGGTGAAGTGCTAGCAGATGAAAATCTGTATTGCTCGGTTATATTATCATTCAAACCATCCAGAGGTTTGATTTAGCTTTTGGAATCTTCAACGTCGAATTCAAGATTTTCAATTTATCGATCTCGATCTCCGGCTCCGACTTCCATTCATAAATTGCCAACTCCTCACTACAATAAAAATACTTGAATCATACCTAGAGCAACACATCAGCATAATGCCTGCCGTTACTTCAATCATTTGTGCCGGGAATCGGTCAGAGGTGGGAGAATATTGTAATCCCAACATTGACTGGGTCACTTTGCTGAGATCTTTTCTCCTTCCGTTTACTACTGTGGGGCTCATTGTCGTCTTTATACATTCGTTGGACTGGATTGTCACTGCAATTGAAACCTGTCTGGAGAATCGAAAAAAGAAACAGGAGGCCGCCAAGAGAGAATACCAGCCGCTGTTGAATCCACCGAATTTGCAGGGCGCACATGAGGAAATTCACGAGAGACAAGGCGAGGATATATCGATTGATGAGTTTCAAGGCGAGCAGGAGAAGGGCATTACAGAGAGGTATCAGAGGCTTCCGATCGAGATGCGACAGACAAATTATGGTACAATTACCATCTAATCTGCTTCTTGGCATCGAAGGAAAATGCAAAGCCAGTTTGACTGAGAATTCTGGGAAGCATGCATTTAGGCAAGTTCAATACTACACCTGGGAGTAATAAAGGGGTAACAATGCTTTTAGGAATGGGAAACGGTTTTCGGTGGTTTATTAGTTTATTGGATCCTTAATATCACGAAGCTTAAGCTCTAGTGTTAATCCTAAGTAACAGGAAATTGAGAAATTTATTCAATTGGTTATCCTAAGAGTGTGTGGAGCGTGTATTGATATTTCTCTACTGTAATTTATGTATATCAGATGAAGATTGTAAAATCCCGTGCGATGCATCTCAAGCCGATTATTCAGTCAATTTAGGCTTAAGTAGAACATTCCAGGCTTACTTGAAAAACTTTGAGGTTAGATGCTACCTAGTACTTTTAAATTTTTCGCTTCATAACATATGAATATCAGAATTCCGGGAAGTGGATAGATTAAGACAAAACATCCTCAAAGGTTTGAAGGACCCCAGCACGTGCCGTCATACGGGTCCATATCCCCTAGAGTGCCAGAGATGGGCTCCGAAAGTGGTCTGTGCGATATACCTTGAATGATAAAACCTGATTGGATAGAATGGATATTTTGATGGTTTTTCAGTCACGTTATTTATAATATAGAATCTTGATTTCAAATTTCGATTTTTTATAATTTGAAAGAAGAATAAAGATTAAGAATTATCATATATAATAACATTCAAAATTTTGATATAGAAATAATATTGATTGAATTTTATATTAAAAAATAAATATAAATATTGAATCAAATTCAGGAAATCCTAATAGTTTAATTGGTTGATAAGATCCCTGTTAAGCGACGGAGCCCATCTCTGGCACTCTAGGGGATAAGAGTTCTGGCCCCTGCTCACCGCACCCCTATGACAAATGTGACAAAATCCTTGTGAAAATGGGGTTTTTCCATACAAATTATTATATTAATTATTTTATTCAAATCTTTATATTTTCTTTTTCAAAAAATCGGAAATAATAAGTAATTAGAATTGAAATAAAAAAATTATTTGAAATGTTTTTTACTATTTTTGTTGAATAATTATATAATATTGAAATCAAATTTTTCCAAAATTTTTAATATATAACACTTTTCTCATACAAAATAAACAAATTTTTCAAACTTTTTTGAATTTTCAACTTTAATCCTTTAAAACATTATTAGAAAAATATTTAAAAATAAATGATATATTTTCCTATATAATTTGAATGATTCTAAATCCTTTTATAATACTATATTCAATTTTAATTTATACATTTATAAATAAACTAAAATATAAAAAACTGAATAATCATACATTTTAGCCGAAAAAGCGTTACATGTACATTGAGCAGGGGCCAGAACTCTTATAATATGTGCGTGCCATAGAAGTACAGTCGCGGGGATTGCTACTGCTTATATTACGGTTGAGGAAGCCACACTAGCTGGTACGCAGATGTATTGGAAGAGGCTATTGTTATAACCTGTCTTAGTTTAAATCGTCCAAAAATTCGATTTAGTATCTGAATTCTCACAGTAACTCATCATTTTTAATCCTCCCGATCATTTACACTCTCACCAGGATTCGACATTTGTCAAACAGCAATACATCAAATTCTCAATATTCCAACAAGAAGATGTTCAAGATCCCGTCATTCAAGCCTATGATTATCAAAATAAGGTCCAGCAGCGGAGCTGAGTTACTGTACACCGGGACTAGTTGGGCAGAAAAACTGGAGATTTTCCTTTTCTTGGTCATTTGTCTAGCGGTCTTCAAATTAGTCAATATCGCCCTGATTGCTGCAAATAGTAGATTCGAACGAAAACTACAAGTGGAAAATGCCAGGATAACACGAATGGCGTTGTTGATTCGGAGAGAGATGAAAAATAGAAGACAGGCAGGAATCAAGATTGAAGGACAAAACTTGTTGGACGAGAAGCGACAGAAAGAACTGTGGAGAACGATTATTTTCGAAGAGAGAGTTAAACTGGTTTCGAATAAAGATCTGACAAGAAGAAGCCGTGCCTTCTTCCCTAACTATTGAGGTATCAAGCCGTAATGCAAATCAATTTTCACTCAATCGCCGGGGGGATCTTTGTTTCAGGGATGGTATAACACAGAAGTACAACATTTGCTATTATCGATAGCGATGAAATAAGGGACGGTGGAGTAAAGGTGTAGCGGGGTTCATTACTTCATTGAATCCCAAATCATCTGGGGTCTTAGTTCATCATGTCATTTAGTCACTAATTAAGATAATGACTATTTTGCCATTATAAGTTGAATTAGAATATTTCAATAACGTGCTAATCGAAACCATGGAGTGATGTAGCATCTAATATGATGTAACTTAACTAAAACACGAACCTCGCTTAATTGTTTTAACTAGGTCATTCGCATCATTGTTAGTTTCCAAGGTTATTTCAGGAATCTGGATTTTACCAAAAGTGATTCTGTCCTTTCTATCATAATATTCCTCATGTCAGCCAGCCACCACGTAATATCTCCACGATATATCAAGATAGTAAATGTGTGGCAAATCTCACATCTACCTCACCCTAAATGCATGCGCCGGATCCTCAAGACTTGTCCATACCGTACCACCCCAATTATATTATCGACTCTACCCATTTTAATATTTCGGAGTATCAGAATTCTTTTGGACGATTTCGAAGGTTCTAGGACAGCTTTTATGTTGTTCATTTTCCCCGAAAGTATTCTGCACAAGGATGAAATATTGCGGCGGGAAAAAGACATCAAGGAGCACAAAACTCGTTAAACCAGCTTGGAATCAAGGCTAATAAATGAAAGCGCCGAGGAAGAACTCATATCATCTCTCCCAGAGAGACAAAGCAAGGGAGAACGGATACCGATATCAGCTTGAGAATCTGAACAGGTAATCCTTTTTCGCACAGGAGTGACTGACGGAATTAGTTTGGATGACTCAGTGAGCTACGAATGGCTAGACTAGAATGGGGTTTCAATTTCTTGACTGTCGTATTATAAGTATCAGAAATTGCGTAGAGGATAGGGGTATTGATAAAGAGTGAGTACGAACGCAGTACTGGATGGAAAAAGGTTGCAGCTGGCTGTTTTGTAAACATGGTACAAAAACTTGGCCTTCACTCGAATTGGAAGTTAGATTGCCCTGGATGGGCTTCGGCTGCAGGGTTGGATTGTTTTGCTAAAAGTGCTGTATTTACCTACTATGCACCCAGCTAGCCTATGCGCTAGTATACTCGTACAGATCCCCCTATCCTATATGACAGCTCACATTGAATTGTAATAAAAACATCTTCTTTTGACCTTCAACAGTTCTTGACTCACAATATACTACAACCCTGAACTCGACATAAACACAAGCTTGCCGAAGATTTCCACGACCCTCAAATAAAAAGTTCTCGACACGATTACAGATCACGAACGCTATTACCTCTCGACCTCATAATTTCACACTAATCAGCGAATTCTCTAGCTCAAGGATCGAAAATCTTGAAAGCTTTGGAATTATGCCACCTAGATTTCTCCTCGGACCTGAGTGGAAAGAGGGTGACTGGAAGGCGACCAGTAGAGCCTATAAGATCTCGCTTTATTTAATCTGGACGTTGGTTGGCATCGAACTTGGTTTGTTGGTTATTTCGATGACACTTGGCTTCTACAATGGCTGTGCCATACTACTTATTTTCATCGGAAAGCTTTGTTTGCAAGAGTAAATCGGGACGAACCACAAGAGGAATTCAATGAAAAGCGTCAAGAGAAAGGCACCGAGGGTGAATGCAAGCCTTTGTTGATGGAAGATTCTGGTTAAGGTCCGTGTTCTTATAAAGTATTTCCCTGGAACCTGCTAATATGGTTGTACAGCTTCTTTCTGAGAGCTATGGTACGGACACGGGGTGACTTTTTGTTGCTGCTGGCTGTCTTTGAATAGGAACCTATTCTAGGGCTGGAAAAGGTTGCTGGTGAATTATTCAAGACTATATCTGAATAATATTACATAACAAAAACACATCATTCCCACCGCAATGAATACGGTCAAGTAAATGATTTCATTCTTTGAAAAAAGTGATTCTGAGTGAAATGACAATCAATAAAACAGCTGTTCCTCAAAATGAAAGAAAAGCACTCAAGCGAAGCTGGTAGTCTTTTCCTGATTTTCACTTGGATCGAATCTTTGAAGAGCTAAGGAATTTAGCTATAAATATTTTATTTAGATCCTAATGCACATCTGAATTACTCAACGACAATTTCAAGACTAATTTACTCTGCGCACCACATACCATTTACTGCAAAAAACCACACCTGAAAGACATTTACCCTCAAAGTCCACATCACAAATAATTCTCCTCATTCGACACTGATTCTTCCTACTAAGTCAAAGCCCTTCATCATAACCGAAGATGAGTTTCCTCCGACAAATCACTAGACAACGTCGCGCAGCCAGCACCGGTACGGGACAACCTAAGAGAGCATATTATACACAGAAATTCTATCAGTACAATAAGGATCACTTGTATGTTGTTGTTCCTGTTCTCTCTACTGCTGGTCTCGTGGCTTTTTATCACCGCACAGTTGGATTTTCCCTCCCACACCACAGGGAGCAGATGAAAGGTACAGGAGCAGAGGCTGCTGTTGACAAAAGAATATGAATCGGTGATTATCGCCTTACATGGAGCTCTTGAAAGTTGCTGATACAAGTATACAGCTCATATTCTTACAAAGTAGTGGGTATGTGGACAAACTTACCACATGAGGATCTGTGGAAGATAGCCTCGCTAGTAAATTTGATACAGTCATAGAGTTCAGGGCTGTTGATGATGAATGAGCGTTGCTTTTACTTTGGGAGAGGGATTGGCGGCTGGTATCCATAATTTGTCAAAGAATGTGATAAATAAATGAGAGATTTATCATGATAGTTCAACCCTTGAATTTGTGATCTTGGGGTGAATCAGATGAAAATTGTTTTACGTATCTGAGCTGAGTGAACCAATGGTTTGACAACTGTAAACTTCAATTACAAGATCTAACCAAATGTAAGCTCGAACCCGAGAATGCTTGGGACATGGGTGAAGCTCTCTGCCGTATGAAGGAACTTGCTAATTAGACGTAGTGAATGAGTCTTTACGATGGCTGTACAATTAAGATTCTCAATATTTAAATCACCAACAACCTGCGATTAATGCATCTTAAATTTCAACAACATCATCACGTCTAGGCACTAGCTATTACAAACAACAACTAACACGTCCATTTACAAACTCTACAACTCCAATACAATAAATCTCTTCTTTTTCCTCAACAAATTATGCTAAACGACGAAGCCTGACAGCAACCAGAGACAAATATTGCATCAATTCAAAGAGCTTCATCATGCCACCAATCAATACCATCTGGCATTGTAAAGCACGAATTCCGCTTTCTAGCAGCCCACAGAATAGCACTGTGCCACCTCCTTCTGACAACTGGCACTGCTCAAGCCATTTGGAGCATATACCTAGTGATAGCGAGGAATTTTGGTATAATCTCTTCATTATAATGGCGTGGATCATCATAGGACTTACTGTTGTTTCTTCATTCATCACCATATTAGCCTTGATAGCCGCATTTATCCAGGAGCGCAAAGAGAATCGGGAATGGGAGAACAATATAAAGGCAAAATCCAAGCAGTCGTTGGCAAAAAAGGATGGAAAAGAGGATGGAATCAAAGCAGAATGCCAGTCATTGTTGACTAAAAATTCTGGTTAGATATGTAAGGTTGTTTTTTCTCGAGGAGATGGTGAAAAAACTTGCTGACGATTACCTAGGGAAAGAATGTTCGTAAAGATCCAACGTGGATCTGTGAGACCAGGAGAGGTGGATTGGGACTGAATATGAACAGATGACGCGTTTTTGACCTGGAATAGAGGTATATATGAGGGCATATTTGAAAGCGGAAATGGCTTCAGGTGGTTAGATACACAAATGAAAATTAGCAAATCACTTTCATGTCCGAAAAATCCAATTGATTTATCTGATGTCTTAGGGCCCGTTCGAATCGATTTTTTTTTTTGACATTAGACTAATATATTAGCCCAATATAGTGTTTACCGAACACAATATTATATCCAATATGTATTAGCTCAAATAAATATATTTACCGAACACAACAATAGATCTAATCAAATATTAAGTCTAATAATGTTAAAGTGATAAATGTGATAAATTTTCTCAACCTTTCTTATACAGTAATCAACAGTAGCTTTTGAGATTTAGTTAAATCAATATATTTGAAAAAAAGCATCATCTTCTTCATTTTCAACTCAACTTTACATATCCTAATATTATTCCAAATATATTAGCTTCATTCAAATATTAATATTTCAAATCCCTTGCTATTTAATTATTATTAGAGATTTCATCAATAAAAAAAAATCGATCCGAACGGGCCCTTAGAACTGATACCTGCTTTATTCTGGAATATGATGCCCCTTAGTTTCCGTGATGAATTGATCATGTACTCAAAGAGTTAGGATATATCGAAGTTAGATTCTACAATAGTAATACAGGAGGTTGAGTCACAAAGTGTTTTGTTTGACTAGGTGGCTGCATCGTTTTTACATATTTCCCCTTCTCTGAAATCTGGTTGATAATGACTGAATCCATTATTCGAGAAGAGTTCATTCAATATCTGAGGGGTATGAGAGCAATTTGTAAATCAAAAAACAAGGATTTCTCGCACAAGGGATAAAAATCAAGGAAGTTCATACAGCTCTATTATTGGATAAATCGGACTATATTGGATACATATAGGCATTTTTGATACCTTATATCTCTATGTACCTCGGCTATTCATTCATCAATTTCAAGAGATTTGAACAGTACAAGCACAACCATTTCTACATAAAAGGACTCCACGATTTCAGTAATTAACTTTCGACTACGAAACAACATGAAAGCTTTCCCAAACTCGATACTTTACGTTCATCAGGAGACCTTCAACACAACAAGATTTAAGTTATTCAATTCACAAATAAAACATGTCACCTACTCCCCCAGACATCTGCGACTGCGCAAAATGGTGTGCCGATCAAAGTTTATCCGCTGTGCAGGAAATTTTGAGAGATGTCTTCTATATACTAGTCGCCATTCTGACATGTGTAGTTTTCATCGGCTCTTTAACCTTTGTTGCTACCGCCATGGCCATGCTCGTTCTAGTAACTGGTTCTTATTTGATACGTTGGCTTAAGTCTATCAATGCGGATCGTGCTCCGAAGCAAGACAATCATGGTACTGGAGGAGAACGACAAAGATTATTACCGGGATCATCTGGATTGTTCGAGAATCATGGACTACCTGCATATTCTGCATAAGTATGTTTTTACGGTAGAAAAGATTGTGGGAACTGGCTAATATTTCAAAGTGACATAGCTTCATCGCATACCGGCACAGTCTTGTTTCAGAGAGCAGAGTGCAGGTTAGGGGTAGAATAGCAGACTATAAAGGGTTGGCATGGGATTTTGGGACAGAAATCGGTTGAGAGCGTTTCATTCCATGCGGAAGACAACGAGACAATTGCATGGTTCGCGATGGACTGACTACCGATATTAGCTACGGTTCTGATCAACAATAGTTTACTACAACTCAAATAAAACATGTTCAATGTACCTGATATGTGATATCTCTATGATACGTTCTCCCTTGGCAATTCTCAAGTTTCCAAACAAACTCTCATTTCCATCCTCACCCATTCCGTGCCGTTGCATGAAATTAACCAAAGAAGTTGAACTGTTAGTAAATGTATTTAACCCTGCATAATTTAATTGTTCCCGTTAATGTTATTCTTATTTGGCGGTAAATGATGTTGAAGTTGAGTATGGAGTACCGATGAGGAAATATAATGGCTATGGAACTATCGGCCTCATGCATGCTATTTGTGGTGTATTCAAGACAGGAGGTAGGTGATGGTGAGGAGATAGAATGAGAGGGGGAGATCCAGATAATGAATGTAAGCTGTCCAGTTTGAAAGTTCAGTATGATGGAGTTTGCGAGCCAGTGACGGAAATTTTGTAGCATTATATAAAGGGATTGTGGTAAGCAAGAGCCCCATTCTTTGATTACAGGAAAAATCGCATGAGAGCAACGTGCTAATCTTGTCTTTTAAGGTGGTGGGGCGTGTGCTCAATGCATATACTATCATACCGATAGCTACACTAAGAGACTGCTGGGCCTCTGGATCTCTTTTTGGGATTTTCGAAATGTTCTTTAGAATGACAAGTATGAATCACTTGGTGGATTGACCCAGATAAAACTTGAGCAGATGTTTAAAATACGAGGTATGGGCTAATGACAGCTGAGATGCACAGAGTAATATCACTCATTCAGATGATGAAAATCGAATTAGTTCGGACTCTGAGATTTGATAAAATATCTTGAGGTTCAGATAGTATGGGGATGTCCTATCTTCACAAGTGCCAATGCGGGCCACTCTTTCGATATAGCTTAGAGAACATGAATGCAATTGCTTGGGCTCAGTTTTGGACCCGTGTCTTGAGCTTCGTTCCCGAATTCCTTGATATCTGAAGCCAGTGATTTCAACACTAGATCTCCTGAGGTTCAAGTTCAAGGATTTTCGGACGGCCTGTAAGTAGAAAACTCGAGAAAAAGATGTTCGAAACTTTTTTATCCATAAAGCTTAATCAGCAACCATGGAAAGAGTTTTTCTGAGCGTTTCGTTTTCGTATACCTTTTCGCAAGCGAAATGATTAGATAAAGCTTTCAAGTAGTCTGGTTGTAATAAGAGCCCATCGCTGGCCAATAGAAATTACCTTTGTTGAATGACTAGACTTGCTCATCCGAAGTCTAGAGGCTTTCTACACAAGTGAACTTTCAATCATTATGTCGGGATATCGACCATGTGATCTAAAGAGGGCACTGTATTGCACTAGCGTATACACTAGCGCTAGCACTTCTATCATATTAAATACTAGCTTCCTATAGATAATAAAGATCAAGAACGAATACAATTATAATAGACTAAAGTACTTTACACTTATCAACCAAGTTGATACCAACACATTATTTGAAGTTTTATGCCACCTCTCACATTGCCTGAGAGATTGCTTGGATTGCCACCATGGGCAAATCATAAATATAGTGGAGCTAGATTCCTCAATCTTCATTCACCCGCCCAACTTGTTATATTCCTCTCCAAACATGCTTTTGAAGCTTTGCCTGGTCTGCTCACAAACCCTTTTCTCTGTTTTATTCCCCCAGCTCTTAAAGACAATGCTTTCATCACATGCCATTTGTACCATATACTCCCACGCTGAGAGTTCGACGTCTAAACCATTGAAAGTACTCAATGAGTGTTCTTCACTACCCCATTGCCTCGAACCTTGGTAATTGTGTAGCGGATTAAGCTTCGGCGGCCAGCTTGCATGGATGAAAAATGCTCTTGAGATTTCCTCTCCTCTTGAGCTCACATCTTCCATGGGGTCAGCTTGCAGAACGGCTGCGCCATTTCCACGTGAACCAAGGGGACGAGGTAATTGAGAGACGGTGTAGAAACTGTTCCCAAGAACGAGGGCAGCCGTTGAAAAAGTTTCTTTGTCGCCTTCTCCTGCACCTCCTTGAGTCATAAGGTGGTAATAATAATCACCGTAGGCATTATAGTATGCTGCGAGTAACAAGGCCTCGGCTCGATGTGCCTTGTTGACTAAGATTTGTCCAGCTTCGATTGTAGGGCGGTTGTTTAGGATGGATCCTTCAAGACCAATTATCTTACTAAGAGTTGGCGAGGGTGTCGGGCTCCAGTAATCTGGCCACAGGACAAGATGTTCTGATGTGAAAGGTGTGGATGCGAATAGATCGTCGGGGGAATAGACAGGAAAGTTATCTGCATCGAGAAAAAGAACTGATTCAAAAGATGAGAATAGTATCGCATATGCTTTTAGTTGGTATCCCGAGAAAGAAAATGACAGCTCGTGTTGATCGATGATATCGGAAAGAACGAGGCATTTCGCATTCAATGAGGGAAGAATTGTCTCGCACATCAATGGTTCGTATTCATCCGGTGTGGCAAGGAAGACTTCGATGGGCAGTTTAGATCCGGTGCGTCGAAGGAATTGAAGACTGACGAGAAGTGGAGGGAAATAATCACCTCCTGCAGATGTTACAATACCCTGGGTTCCCTTCTTGAATTCCAACTTCGGGGCATTTTGCATAAGTTGATCAACGAACCAAGTATGGGATCGTCGCATCGTTTCGACATCCTTTTCATCCATGATAATATGCTCCGCGGCTCTTCTCTTGCCAATCTTCATCGAATATGCTTTGCCACTAAGCTCCGGGGGTGTGCATCGCGGTGCAGCAGCTGCCAATAGTGGAGCGAACGAAGCCCAAAAAGTACTGGAAGTAGCAATCCATGGTAGAGCTGGCTTTCCGAATGTGGAGAAAAGTGTTTGACGATCAAGATATGAGTACCGGTACTCAGAACCAAGGCCAAAAAGTACGATGATTGTGATGGATGAGAAGATCACAGCAAAACGGCGTTTCTCTGGCAAGGAGTTCCACATGGTGATACGGCTCGTTCGGCGATAAAAAGACAATACACAGATCAAAAACAAAGGATCGCATCATGAGGACAAACATGAGATTATACCAAAGAGCTGAGTCCCCCAAGTCACGAGCTTGCAAACCTTATGGCAGCCATGTCCCAATTGTGGAGAAGCACACACGCGGCCGTTGACGCTGCCGTTGCAGTAACTTACGTACCCGATCCATGCTATAAAAGTATCATACTGCGGGACTCAATTTATATCTCCTTGCATATCCAAAGAACCAGCGAGTATGGATCATGGCCACGAGAACTTTCTCGCTCTTTGCATTAGCCTGGAAATTACAAAGAATTGAATGTGTTCAAAAATAGAGTTTGTCATTTACCTACCTAACCTCAGTCAGTAGTTCTTAGAGGTTAGCTCTTATAATAAGAAGGAATAGTATTATTATAAGGATAGTGGAAGATCTAATCAGTTTAAGCTATAGGGATAAATCGAATATATAGAATAAGAGTTGAATTGAAGTCAATTTAGAAGAGCTAGGCTAAGTTGAGATAAATTGCTTGCTTTTTCCTAGATTTTCTTTAAAGAATATTCTAAATTTATATAGTTTATAATGAGATTCCAGTATATTCTATACTTATAAATAAGATTGATTTAAATTGTATCTTATAGAATTACTTTAAATAATAAAAAGAAAGTATAATCAATCAATTTAGTAAGATTTCCTGTATATTTCTATCTAATTTCATTTTATTCTATTTTATTATAAATCAATTTGATAAGAGATAATATTATACAATTATATAATAATATAATTTTATAATATAAGATTATATTATATGTGTATTAATTATCAATATATCCCTTATTTAATAAGATATTAGTAAGTGATTTAGTAGACTTATTATAAATCCTTACATACCCTCTTAATAGATATACTAAATCAATCTTATTATATATCTTAATTCAGATTGATCTAATTCGTAAATTCGATCAATTTGATTCGAGCTAATGGTTTAGTAAGCCCATCAGCTTTCTGTTTATTAGTAGATATATAAATTAGATCTAAATCTCCTAATTTAATAATATCCCTAATATAATAAAATCTGATTGCTATATACTTACTTCTTTCGTGGAATATAGGGTTCTTAGCAAGCGCTAGCACGGTCTGATTATCTGTATATAAAGGAAATTTATTCTACTTATATAAATTAAGTTCTAATAGTAGCTTTTTAATATAAACAGTCTCTTTAGCAGTTAGATTTATAGCAATAAATTCAGATTCGGCTATAAAAAGGGCTACTACTGACTATAGTTTAGATTTCCAACTAATAGACCCATTCCCTAGTATAAATATATATCCGCTAGTAGATTTATATATATTAACCTCCCCTCCATAGTCAGTGTTACAGAATCCTTAAATATAAGAATTTTTAATTTTAGTATAATTTATACCCTTATTTATAGTCCCTTTTAAATATCTTAATATTCTTTTAGTGGCTTGAATATATTCTGTATTAGGATTGGATAAGAAACTAGTTAATTTAGATATTAAAAATACTATATCTAATTTAATTCTGAGAGCTAAATATAATAAAGAGTCTATAATTTCTTGATATAGTTTAATATTATTATTATTAGCTTTTTCTTTATTATAAATTAGTTTTATTTTCGGATTTATTAAAATGGAAATAGGATTAGAATTTAGTATATTAAACCTAGTAAGTATCTTTTTAATATACTCTGATTAGTATAGTTTTAATATATTACTAATCCTTTCAATTTGAATACCTAAATAATCCTTTATAAAATTTAGATTCTTTAAATTAAAGTGTTCCTTTAGATTATTAATAAATTTATTAATAATCTTTTGATTTGGGGTTATTATAGTAATATTATTGACATATATACTTAGAATTATATTCTTATTTTTATTGATAAAAATGTATTTCTTTGAGATTAGATTTATAAAGTCTAATTTATTTAATATGTTTTTTAGGGTATAATATTATATCCTGACTGATTATTTTAGGTTATATAAAGCTTTATTTAGCTTTAAAGCTTTATTTTTTAGTTTACTAAATCCTTCCAGTGGACTTAATAAAAATGGTATATCAATATTACCTTATATAAACACTAGTATTATATTGATTTTATAGATTAGTCAATCATTTTGGAAAACTAATATGAATAAGAGCTTCTATATCATTGATTTAACTATTGATACATGTATATCAATATAGTCTAATTCATATAGCTATTTGAATCCTTTAATGATAAATCTAGCTTTGAATTTAATAAATTCACCTGAATCCTTTATTTTATATATTTATCTAATCCTTAGGATTTTATTATTATTGGGATTATCAATAATATCCTAAGTTCTATTGAATTCAAGAGTATTTATTTCGTATTCTATAGTTTTTAGCTAGTATTCCTTTTCCGAAAAGCTAATAGTTTTTTTGTAGGTCTTAGGTTCAATCAATATGCGATTTGGCTTATTAATAATGATCTTTTTATTATTTTTAAGCCTAGTATCGAAAGCTAATTGAAGATCTTGTTAATCTATTTCGATATTCACCCCTTTATTGATTGAATTAAAGTACCTGGAAAAAGCAAGTCCATAATAGGAAACCACATATTTTCTATTTTTAACAAAGCCTTTATTATCAGGAATTAGATCTTTTATACATTTAAATTGCTGTATATTAGATTCTATTTCCTTATTAAGTGTAGATTCATTGAACATAGACTCATCGGGATTAATCTTTACATAGTTTATTATTTTGTTACTTTCGCTATTTTCGTTTATTTCAGAATTAGCTTAACACCTATTAATACTAGTAGTATCTTTATTCTTTATATTATCTTAAATAAATTGAAATTCGAGATCTTTTTTTTTTAATAGCTTTAAATCCTGATTTTTATATTTATTAGAGTATATAAGATCTTCTTGAATATCAATATCTTTCAAGCTAATTATTCTCTTATTAACTAGAATATAGATCAAATAATTATTAAACAAATTAAAGTCTACTAGTATACCTTTCCAAGTTCTAAAATTCAGTTTTTTATTACAAATTTTTTTATTATTAATAATATAAATAAGAGAGTTTAGAATTCTAATATAACTTAAATCGGACTTCTTATTATATATTAATTTGAATAATGAATTATTAATAGAACTATTATATGTTCTATTCTTAATATAAGCAATAGCTTTAATTAGGTATAGCCATAAATAGAGTGAAATCTTTTTCTCTTTAATTATATAAATTAGTCTTTTAACTATATATCTGTTTAGTATTTCGACTATTTTATTCTAGAAATAAACATATAGATTAATATATTTGTATATAATCCCATAATTTCGAATAAAATCTGATCATTTGTTCGAAAAGAATTCAAAAGTATTATCTAATCTTAATATTTTAATATTAATATTAAACTGATTTTTAATTAGATTATAGAATTTTATTAGAATATTATAGATCTAGAATTTGAATTTAATAGAATATACCTAAATCTTTAATAACCCAATCAATAAATACTAAAAAATATTTTTTATCTTTAATCCCTATAGTTCTAAAAGGTCCAGTTATATCTAGACTGAATTTTTTGAATTTAAAGCTTATTTCAGAAATTTCAAAGGATTCCTTATTTATTTTCTGATAGAATTTACCAAATTTGTATAATTTATATACCTTTAAATCAGATTTAGCTATATCTAATTGAATATTCAAGGATTTAATAATATAATCCTTATTTATATAATCTAATCTCTTATAAATTAGATTGAGATTGACTTTATTTAATAATAAATTCGATTTTTGAGTTAATTCTTTTTCAATTTCAAAGATATTAATATTTTTAAGATATTTAGGATTCACCTTAAAATTAAGGTAATATACATTAATTAGTTAGGGAGCTGCAGTTTATATATTAGCCTCTTTATAAATAATATCAATCTTATTTCCTGGGGGAACAATATAGCTAGATCACCCTTTTTGGGCTATTTATTCGAACTGATAAGATTAAAGGCTATATTAGAAATATAATACATTCTCTGTAATAACACCTCTGATTTATTATTAATTAAAATAGGAATATCTCCTATATTATTAATACAAAGCTTTTCCCTATTAGCTATAATAATAGAATAATTGTTAAATGGCTTATAATTTATAAACTATTTTTTATTAGATAAATAATGCTCTATAGTACCCGAATTTAATATAAATTTATATTTAGATCCAAGAGATTAATTAGCTAAGTCTATATAATGATCTACAGCCATTAATTGTTTATTAGAGATGAGTTTATTTGAATCTTTTTTTGAATCTTTATTTGAATTTCTATTTGGATTCAATTTAAATTGCTTTTTATTATCCCCTTTATTAGTTTTTAATTTAGAATATTTTATAAAGTATTTCGACTCTAAATACCTCTTTTTAAAGTAATGCTTGTAATAGGGAGCTTTATTAAAGTTTATTTTATTAGCATTTAGGTCAATATTAGATCACATTCTAGTTTTTTCAAATATTAGCTTGAAAAAGAGCTTATCCAGATTAATATTAACTATATTTTTAGCTAATTCTTTGTATTTTCGAGAGGCAAAATTATTAAAAGAGCTAGGTAGGCCTTTAAAAAGAAATTATACTATAAAGGTATCCAGAATGTCAAAATTCATCGATTTTAGATAATTATACAATAATTGAATCGAATTAGTATATTTATTCATTTCTTTTAAGCTAGTATAATTAGATTTTATTAGCCTATTTAGGTATCTTCCCATTAATTCAATAAAGGACTCTCCAAATATCTTATTAATAAAATCCTATAGGCTTTTAGCCATAGTTTTCTTAAATCTTTTGACTAATTCAAAGCTAATTATGAATTTAATAGCTTCTAATACCTTTCTTTTGTTTCTCTAATATTCTGAAAGTCTTTTATTATATTTTATAGTTAATTCAAATGAAATAGGTCTTTCTGATTTATCTATATATAGACTTTTATTAGATAAAACTTCTGTACCGTCGATATATGGTATAAAACCATTTATTTCGAGAAAGAGCTTAATTCGATTAATCCATTCGATATAATTAGATCTGTCTTTTAAAAGATTAGATTTAAAATTGATATCAGGGGTTATTTTAAGTCCTTTATAGATTAATTGGTCTTATGCTGGTTAAATACTAGTCTAAATGTATAGCTAGTTTTGATCTTAAATGGATTAAATGAATAAATCAATTTAAAATCGATTTTAGTTTTGAGGATCGAATAGACCAGTCATTTCTTAAATTAGATCTTTATTTTAATTAATATAAAATAAAGACTAAATAAACTAGGGCATCTTGGTATAAAGAGAATTGATATATCACCCGCTATGAATAGCAATATAGTATAAATTTATTGTTTAGGGATCTAATTTTATACACTTAATTAGATTTAGCTTTAAGGACGTAGGTCTCAGGGTCTATATACAGTGATTTTTGATATAAATTTGATTAAATTAATTCGAAAAATTCAATATTTAACAACTCAATAGCGGTATATATATAATGTACAGCCTTAAATCAAGCTAATTCCCTTTTTAAGCTAGTTTAAACTAGCCGGGCTTATAACCTCTTGGAGGTTAGCTTTTATAATAAAAAGGAATAATATTATTATAAGAATAATGAAAGATTTAATTAGTTTAAGCTATAGGGATAAATCGAATATATAGAATAAGAATTGAATTGAAGTCAATTTAGAAGAGTTAGGTTAAGTTGAGATAAATTGCTTGCTTTTTTCTAGATTTTCTTTAAAGAATATTCTAGATTTATATAGTTTATAATGAAATTCCAGTATATTCCATACTTATAAATAAAATCGATTTAAATTATATCTTATAGAATCACTTTAGATAATAAAAAGAAAGTATAATCAATTAATTTAGCAAGATTTCCTGTATACTTTTATCTAATTCTATTTTATTTTCTTTCATTATAAATCAATTTGATAAGAGATAATATTATATAATTATATAATAATATGATTTTATAATATAAGATTATATTATATGTGTATTGGTTATCAATATATTCCTTATTTGATAAGATATTAGTAAGTGATTTAGTGAACTTATTATGAATCCTCATAGTAGTTTTATAAATTTAAAGAGACGGTCTGTGCATTTCGATGTGCGGAATTGAACCGATTGTTAATAACCTCAAAGACAATAAAATATAATTCACGACATTGATATCTGGCAAAGGCAGATTTCTATTGGAGCCTCTTCGAAGTCATTGGTCTTTAAACGCGATGGTTATATTTTGTATAGTTGGGGGCCAAAACCAGCCTTGTTTATTAGCCCCACCACACATCGCAATGGTTTGTTTTCATGATACACCATCGTCGCCACCGGTTCGACAAGCTTGCGGCACATATCGGTAAGCGGATTTATGAGGTCTCGCGAATATCATGGGCGTCAGGAATAAAATAGAACGAGCAAAGGGCTATTTGCGGGGGGAGTCCAGATATGATCCTCATGGAGCACCAGGTGTTGTTGAACAGCTAGCAAAATGGAGCATCGCACCCTCAACTGCTGCCGCCATTAATTTACAGGAGCCAACTGAAAGCCCAGCTAACATGGATGCGGGAGTCAAACATCCAAGCGCTCCAGTGTATCCGACGAACACCCCAACTGTCCAGACTAAACTCAGGGGGACCATAAAATCAGACGAGTGGAAGGACCTTTGGCTACAAGCATATGTCACTTCGAAAGTCCAGGAGCCGGAGTTGGTGAGCGTTCTCATTTCTTCAGACCGATTTCTTTGATATCAGCTGGTTCACATGGAGTACAGTGGTGGAATCGATTCCCGATATTTGTGTGAGAAAGATTCGATCGCTGCTAACCCCGCAATTTTCAGATGGAAGATTACACTCGAATCCTTCTCCATGAATTAAATACAACGCTCGGGGGAAACAATAGCCGAAATGCGCCAATCTCCAACCATACATTAGTACAGTTAATGAGGAAAAAGCTGGATGGTTTTTCAATTCCCTCCAGTCGATCTGAGGATAAGATTGAGAAAGTTGTCAAAGTTCTGATGGCAGCCAAGAGTTTTATTGATTTCGCTTTTCAGAGTGAACCACATGCTGCTGTAGCTTGGACTGGCGTCTCCATGTTTCTCCCTGTAAGTGGACATATCTGTTTATAAATGCATGAAAACATGTCACCACGTCTAGGAAAAATCTATCCTCTCAAAGATTGGAAAAATATCCCTTGGTTCTGTCACCTGTGGCTGTCTGTATTCGATTGTGTTAAGTCATAACTCAATGTTAGTATGGAACAGTGTTAGGCATATGGCAATCGGTCTCCTGTTCAGAGTGCAAAGTGATTAATTAGCCCAGGCCAACATGTTAACAATACTTTAGCTTTTGATCAATCCCATCACAGAGAAAGCGGGATGTCGTGAAGGATTAGAAAAGATCCCACCACTCATAGATCGATATTCTCTCCTCGAAATCTCTGTTTCAGACCCGACCAGCACGAATGAAAACCGGAGCAGTAAAGTGAAACAGCAGCTAAAGAAAACTATACTTCAACTATATACCAAAATCTTACTTTATGAAGCTCGAGTAATTGTCCAATTTTCTGGAAAGTTTGTCATTAGACATCTTCGAGATACCTTTAAACTTAACGACTGGAAGAACATGTTCAATGAGATCAATAAGCTCGACCTGCAATGTGAAGTCTTGATCCATGCCATTGATCGTGATCTACACCGGAAAGCGATCGAAGAACAACGCACCCTACTAGAGAAGGTTTCGAATGGACTCAACACCTCGCAGAAGATCGAGGATTACCAGGCTTGTTTTCAGTCATTTCGGACAGGAAATCTGTATGAACTGCAAAAAAATCAAAATCCCTCTCGCATTCCAGGAACGTGCAAATGGGTGCTTGAACATCCTACATTTATGGATTGGAAGCAAGGAAATGGGCCGGGCGTTCTCTGGATTTCTGCAGACCCAGGCTATGGCAAAAGTGTCCTTTCGAGAGCGCTCGTTGATGAAAACCTTGTCGCAACAGAACAAACCACGGACGTATGTTACTTCTTTTTCAAGGATATCTCGAAAGAGCAACGCAGCCTTACGAAAGCCCTTGCTGCCCTACTTCATCAGATATTTTCATCTCAAAAACACCTCCTGAAGTATACAGAGCCTGGCTGGGCAAAAAACAATATTGAAATCGCGAATTCAGTGCAGGAAATGTGGGCTATCATGGAGAACATAGCTATGGATCCAAATGCAAGAAATGTAATATGTGTGCTGGATGCTTTAGACGAGTGCGAGTCTTCCGAGCGAGATTACTTTCTTGAACAACTACAAAAATTGTATAAGAGTAGTGTACATGACAGAGTCACTCGGTCATCTAGTTTCGGTCTCTCCACTGAGTCACTTATATCAAATTTGACTGCCGATTCAAAGACTTGGGCGAACCATACTGACTTACCACCACTGAAGGTGAAGTTTCTCATCACCAGTAGGCCTTACTATGAGATTGAAGAGCAATTCAAAAATCTCACAAATACATTTTCAGGAATTCGCTTGGCGGGTGAGGATACTACGGCAATGATAAAACAGGAAATCAATCTTGTCATTGACGCTGAAGTGGATAAGCTCAAACTTCCCCCGAAAACTAACACTTGGCTCCGCTCTCGACTAAAAGACACAGAACATCGAACCTATCTCTGGCTATATCTAATCATGGATACGATACGCCATAGCGCAACAGCTTGTAGTCAGGAAAAGATCTTTAGAAGAATATTAGACGCTGAATTACCTTCTACAATTGACGAGGCGTAAGTAATCTCTACTTTAGATCTTGTGTTGGCCAACAAAATTGATGTCGTTCTGCCTGCTTCGTTCTACATATTTTGTGTTTTCTCGTGCTGATCGTAAATTAATCCAGCTATGAGGCGATTCTGCTTAAGAGTCCAGATAAGCAAGAAGCTACCAAATTACTCCATATTGTGGTTGGGGCCGAGCGACCTTTAACACTAAGCGAGCTTAATATTGCCCTCAATATAGACAAGTGCTACGACGGATCTCAATCTTTCGAAAATATTGAGCTTGAAGACCCCGGAATATTCGCCAGCCAGATTCGAAGACTCCGCGGTCTTTTTGTTTCCATATCCAACTCGAGAGTATATCTCATTCACCAGACCGCAAAAGAGTTCCTCAGGTCGAAAGACTCAAGTCCTGCACCGACAGGCTGGAAACATAGCTTGAGTCGACTAGATTCTCATTCAATCTTAGCTGAGATCTGTGTCTCTTATCTCTATCTGAAAATGTTCTCAGAAAACAACACTAAACACCAGTGCTTTATAAGATCGCCCGAAGGCCAGCCACACATCTCAAATGAAGGTCGATTCATGTTTCTCAAATATGCATCAGATTATTGGATGAAGCATTGGGACATATCTCCTTCTGATATCGATATGCCAACAATCATCGAATTATGCTCACCATCAGTTCGGCGCTCAATCTGGCTTCGGGCTTGTTTGGGAGGAAAACACCCCCCAAAACACCTCCAGGACAGCGCCTGTACAATTTCGGAATTAATGAAACTAGACGATTTTGATAAAGTAAACGCCATGTCAACGCTCATGATAACGTCATGTCTTGGCCTTATCAATGTTTCTGAAGCTCTTTTGGCCAGCCCATTGTCACATTCTGAAGCGAATGAATTGTGGAAAAGAGAAACCGCATTATCTTTGGCAATACACAAGAAAGATTATAAAATGGTACGAGTAATAAATCTTTGAATTCGTTCTGCGCAAGCGTCTTTATGTTGCCTATAACTCTTATCTACCCTTTGGATTACAAAATTTTAACGCTTCTTCATCCTGCAGATAAATTTTCTCAAATCCTCCGTTGCCAATACAGGTAGCAATAGTTCCGACGAGAATGTTCGAATCGCCTTGGAAGTCGCTCTCAAGCAAGAAAACTCTGGTCATTTGACTGTCTTATTGAACAACGAAGCTAAAACACATGCTGCATTAATTATGGCCCTGGAAGATTATATTCTCCACTGGAGCTCTGAACTTTTCGACTTCATATTGATGCACAATGGACCACTTACGCCCTGTTTGAGGGTCCGACTTCTGAAAATTGCAATGTCAAACAAGAATGTTGAAAATGGTATACGAGCTGTCAAATTTGTGCTAGAATGCCCTCACGAGCAGAGTGTTGAGGAAACATTGCAAGAGCCCTTATATTTGGCACTGACGGGGCATATTCTTAATGTCGGCATTTGCTCATTGATCATTAACGATCCGGCAATACATGACATTGACAACTGTTGGGAACTCAATGATCGTACTGGCAGTAGGCATTCAATAGTTCATTATATTACTAGCCGCTGTTATTCCCGCAGGCTTGAGTTCCGTCAGTACCCAAATGAAGTAGCGCTCCTAAAAATTCTAGGGGCTCGCGGTGCATCCTTCGATAGACATTATAACGGTTCGACATTTTTGTACGCAGCTCGTTATAGCCAAGTTGATTATTTTCGGGGTTTTATCCAAGGGAATCCTAAATTAGCAACGTTCTATATCAATGGAGATGGACTTCATGTGACGCCTATGGAATTCGCAGCCAGCAATCGCAATTTTGATATGATCAGGTGTCTTTTAGAGCACGGTGCGAATATCAACCGAAGTTTCAGCTTCAGATTGCCTTGCTTTGAAGAAGATTATTTTTCGGCTATTTTGACTGCAATTGAACATGGAAATGTTGACAGCATGTCTGAAATCAAGGTGAAAGGAGGATTACTTGACACCCTGTCAATTCAGCAAGTTCAGAAGCTCATTGGTCATGGTTTTGATATCAATATGAAAATCAAGGGTCAAAATCTTCTTTCATATGCGGCATCTTGCGGGAATGTCTATCGAGTCCAATGGCTAATTGACCACGGAGCTGATGTTGATGGACGATTTCAGAATGAGCAATCTGTTCTTTCATCACCATTAATGGAAACGATTTGGGGATGCAAAAGTGCCACAGCCGCATCGTTGATTGTTAAGATTCTTCTCAACAAAGGTGCAAACGTTGATGGGCCTAGGTGTTACAAAGTACATAATGGTCCCATCGTGGCATCTTGTTCCCACCTTGCTATTATGAGGGATAGTGTTGGCATCCTGCAAACTTTACTTGATCACAATGCCGACGTGAACCTTCATGGGGATGACCATGGAGTTCTTCTCAAAACAGCAGCTGTCAACGGGCAGGTGCAGATTGTCAAACTTCTCGTATCTCTTGGAGCAGATATTGACATAGTAGGAATAGGCCCCCCGATCTTACATGAAGCTATAGTCAATCGACAAATAGAGGTCGTGGTCGCCTTGCTCGATCTCGGTGCTTACATAAACATCGTTGACCATATCCAACGCACACCTTTACAACTTGCAAAGGATATGCATTATGCAGAAATGGTATCTTTGCTGCTGAGACGTGGAGCATTATAAATGTGCAATTCAAAATCACTGGGAACGTCGAATCTATATCATCAAGCTCGTCGTCATACGTCAACGATTTCGTTGGGTTTTCAAGGGAAAACTTGAAATGCCTAACCCACAAGCACTTTCGCGCCGATGAAGTGCAGGTCTTCAGAGCTGGATCACGTACAATTCTTTTAATTTCAATTTTGCCAAGGGACAGAATCTGATCGCTTTCTGGAAAAAGAGGGAATGAATGATGTTCAATTGGAGTTGATGCCCAATCTCAAGAGGCTAAAAGGTTGAGGAACAGGGTGATAATGTGAAGATTGATACGTCGACTAGTTATACCAACTTTGATCACTCAAGTATCAACATTGATGCTATGTATATCTATCATAGCTCAACTATGAGTTATGTGCCTCTACTGGGACAGATCAAACATTCGAATAATTGGGAGCTTCATACACTCCTCCCTTCCCAACACATACACTCGGAGGCAAGAACAGAGTGCGGGTTTCAAATAAGTTGGCAGTCGCACTGAAGCTCCGAGTATTACTTCTTATAACCACCTGGTCCTTTCTCATGCGTTCGGGAACCTCGCTCAGTGTATACCGTGAAATTCAGGACGAATGTTTAAGTCACCACAACCACTCGGGTCGCCTGATTCATCTCACCAACCAAATGGTTGTGTTTTTTGTCAACTATGTTATCTCAAATTTCATTTCACAAATTGGGCTTTTATTCGATATACCTTTCACTGTACTTATGGGACTCTGTTGAAGTCTCGCAACTTTCACTGACGCAATCTCTTTATGCATCATCTTGTTTTTGGGGGCCTGGGTTCAATCAACACACATAACGATATGACGACACTTTTCATTGATCACATGTAGAAATAATGCACTGAATCAAATTGCCCTTTAATCGCTCAAAATCTTTCGGTGCCGTTGAGAATTTACTTGTATCTACCTGAAATTTGGTGTGCATACCAAAGTTGTTTTAGCGTAAACACTTCGGGGGCAACAAATGGTAAGTAAACACGAGCACATAACGCCACAGTGGATAATATACTGTCTGTGATATCTTAGATATCTCAAATCGTGATTTTAAAAGACATTGGAGAAGAGCATCTCTGAATCTTTCTGTTATGAATTATTGCCTACTCTCTGGTGGTGATAATTGTGAAATGAAGTATAATGCCATATCCTCGTTGGGTTTCAAAAAGGCCAAAACTATTTTCATATTCAAACACAACCTCTTCTGCATTCACTTTCATATGTACCTTATCTCTCGGCTCCAGAACAGTTGAACTGACTTTCACATCCTCGACCAACACAGGTTTTTCGTCGCTCTTCGAACTTGACTTCCTGCCCCAAAATCTGCTAATATTTCCTGTTGGGCTGGGAGCAACCTTTTTAGGATCTGTTTTCGCAACGACTTGTCTGGAAGGTAGCTCCGGACGGGGTTTCAAAGCCTCTGCGAGTCGTTTTGCCATGTCTTCATCCTCCCAGAACCATGATCCACCGTTAAGACTCTCCTTATCTCCTATCTCCACAGAAACGTCATATCCAGGATTCTCTCTATCAAACTCAAGCGGTTGTGCCTTTTCGTTTTGAATACAATGTGCGGGGATCAACAGCAATGTTCCCTTTCTCAAACCTGTGTTCGCAAACTCGGATAGATAGATTTGGATTTGAGTTGTAAGGAGAGAAAGAATTTTCTCTTCTTGTGCGTGCTCGAGAAGAGACTTTTGGGTTTGGATGGAGCTGAATTGGGTTCTTAGGTGGTTCAACTGGGATTGAATTTGGGTACCGTAGGAGGTGGACGTAGATGGGAGGGCGGAGGGTCCCGAAGTCTTCGATGCTGCAGGAGATACCGATGATGAGGACAGAGAGTCCATGTATGATGGGGGAGCCGGTTCATCGTCGTGATCGTGTATTGGTATTTTAGAATCCATGCTGACAGCTAGGTACAAAAGTATGATGACTTTTGATGCGGCTGAAGAGATCAAGGTTTGGTTGTGGGAAGGAACGTATTGGTTCTCTCTCTGCCGAGAATATGTGAGCGAGCCTTCTCGTACGTCCGATTATGTAAATCCGATTATCGCACTCTCTATTGCTTTTGCAGCAATTCGCAATCTTGGTAGACTCAATAGTAGCGTTACTAAGTGCTAGTAGATTTTAGTGGTCCAATAGTCACGAGACCGGATTCACTAGGAAGAAAGCCTATCAACAATCGATGATGTGTGTGACTTCTCTTGATCTAATCTTTGATTTTTGCGAATATCTGATGTGACTCAAAATTTCCTTAAAATTTCGGAATCTGCATTCGGACCCAAAAGAATTGCGATCTCACGGATTGGTTAAGTCGGGTATTCGGACAACTCACTCGGCTGTGCTGCACCCCGTGTCAAGAAACATGTGTTATTTAGCTGCCTAATATGCACAGCAAGGCTTTGAAATATGCGGGAATAAGGTAGCCATTTAAAGTTGTCTGCCTCGTCGGCCTTGGTCAAGGGATGGACACTTTTAGAGTTTAACAGGTAAGATATGACGATGGCTGTGTGGGGCTGCTGAGATCAGGTGAGACTTTCTAGAAGCTCGCTAGAAAGTCCTCAGTGGATCCGGGGAAGATCATCAAACTTAGGGGCTCGGCATCCCAGGCTGTCCCAGCAAGCCTTGCCAAGATGTCAAAATTGCATCTATATTTGCCGTTTGCCGATTTCGCAACATTGTTCCTGTTTGCGGTCAAACAGCTGATAAGCTTAAAATGTTATCTGTCTAGGTACTTTATGGTTTCACTATTAAGGTTTTATGATATTGCGGGGATTGGACTTCCTACCACAGCATTCTTGTTTATCCCACTTTGTCCTACTCTGTAAGTAAGGAAATTGTCAATGTGTAGATTTGGGATTGGTCTTAAACGGCCAAGCTCTTACTCTACGCGGTCGGAACGGCGGCAGTGTAACATCTTGATCTTGAGTCGAGAGGATTGCGCCCTTAACGCTATTGGTTAGACGAGGCTCCCTTGTCAATCCAAAGGGTTTGACATCAAATTGCTCCTCAATTGTTGATGCATCCTATCCCGCTATCGCCCTGCCTTTTCACGAAGTATTCACCACAATTGTCATGAAAACACCTCAGTGAGGTTGTTCTGTACGCCTTGAACATGTCTTGCTTATTGATGACGCCCTCAGCTTGGCGATTCGGAATCAATGTATATATAGTCACTCTTAATCTTCCGTTCGACGTTTCCTGCTCGCTAATTCTTCCGTCATCACTTATCAATTGCTCTTTCCATATTGTTCTCTCGTCTAATTACTAGTGTCTTCGCCGTTACAGCTTCATTTATTCCGAGAGAGATTAATTGATCAGCTGATCTACACCATTTTAATTTAGTGTTGGGCAAATAAGAATCAGACCATTTTAGAAGGAACTATCTAGGTACTGATATACCAGACCATCTCTTTCTCCCAATCAAACCACAACATCTCATCTCTACATCTACAATTACCTATCAGAAATTTTCAATTTCGTCAGCACATTTATCAATATTTATACCATTATCTTAGACGTCTTGGCAGTGCATTACGAGCTCACCAACAATTGAGAGTTCACTATCGGCGAATTAGGCAATCTTGGAGAACTTTTAGGAGTATTCCAGAAGTACTATAACCCTGCACTCAAGTTAGTATTCACATTTATCGACTGATCAGGCATAGTTCAGTATGTTCAATGTGCTAGATTAACCACTGATTGCATGATACAGAAAACATCTTCCCCTCTTCGAAAGTCTATAAAGTCTGTCAAGATCCCCCTCGATAGGGTTTCAATTGTCCAAAGAAAACTCAGATATCAATCATCATGTATCAAATCGCTTCTCCCAATGAGGTTTGAACTTGTTCCTAATTCGCTTAAAGACGAAGTATCTAACTGCTCACAGTACCTCGCCATCACTGGCGCGAAGATCGCGACTGTCAAAATTTGCAAGAGTGCTTTTGTTTGGCCCTTTCAAAAGGTAGGTTCATGTTCATTCTCTCACACTGCACTGCTAATGTTTTCCAGGTCCGAAGGTTCAACATTCAACCTCGCGACTATGAGTTGTCACTCCAAGCTATGACAAAGGAGAAACTTCAGTTGGCAATTCCTGTAGTATTCACCATTGGTCCCGATGTCAACCGCAGAGGCGATAATGCCCGTACTGCCGACTCTAATCATGAGAGCGCCGCAGAGGATGGCGACGACGCCCTTTTGAAGTTCGCAATGCTGTTGGCTGAAGGCGAAAGCAATGATGGTGATGCTGGCGCACATCTCAGAAAGATTGTTGTCGGTATCATCGAAGGTGAAACCCGTGTTCTCGTCAGCTCCATGTCAATGGAGAAGATTTTTACAGAGAGAGAAGCATTCAAGAAGGATATCTTCAAGAACATTCAATCTGAGTTGGGACAATTCGGCCTCAGAATCTACAACGCCAACGTAAAAGAACTCAAAGACGCTCCAGGCTCTAATTACTTTGCCTCTCTCAGCAAGAAAGCCCACGAGGGTGCCATTAACCAAGCCCGTATCGATGTAGCAGAAGCTCAACGACTGGGTACTGTTGGAGAGGCTCAGCGCCGGGCAGAACAGGATCGAGAACTCGCCAAGGTTCAAGCCGAGACCGCAGTTCAAAAAACAGAACGTGATAGTGAGAAGGCTCGAGCTGAAGCTACACTTGCAACCCGCAAAACTGTTTACAGCCGTGATGTTAACGTTGCTCAAATCGGTAAGTGACATTTATTTTTGTTTTCTGGAGGATCCGCTTTCCTAATACATTCCTCTAAGAAATCTCCAATGCTCTGAAAATTCTGAAGCTTGAAGACCCTGACGCTCGAATTCTCCCTGAGGATATCGAAAGAATGGTCATTAAAGTAGCAATTCAAAATCTTGAATCACAGATCTTGCAAAGGGAAAAGGAGATCAAGAATCTTCGAGAGAGACTCCATTGGTTTAATATGCAATAAACTGACACATTGAACGTTTAAAGAGGCCACACGTGCCACTGAAGTCCGCGACGAAGAACTCCGCAAAGATGTCGAAGTCAAACGCGCTTTCACAGAGCTTGAACGTCTTCGTGCTAGTGACGTTGTCAAGGCTACGATTGCCCGTGAAGCTAAGCAACAAGCTGCTGATGCTAAAAACTACGAAGAGCAAGCCCGCTCAAATGCCGAATACTATAGCCAGCAAAAAATAGCAGAAGCAAAGGCCAACGCTGAACAAAGGGCTGCTGATGCTAAGATGTACAGTGAAAAACAGGCCGCACTTGCAAAAGCCAATACTGAGCAGAAGAGTGCCGACGCCAAAGTATACAGTGAACAGAAGGCGGCTGACGCCAAGGCATATAAAGAGAAGGCCCGCGCAGAGTTTGAGCTTTACAGCGAGCAGAAAGCTGCTGAAGCCAAAGCTTACAGAATCAAATTGGAAGCCGAAGCTAACTTTATCGCCGAGTCCAAAGCAGCCGAGATAGCCCTCTTGAGGAAGCAAAAAGAGGCAGCTGGTATGAGTGCCATGGCCGCCGCATACGCAGATATGAGCAAGGCTATGGGAGGTCCACAAGGCCTCATGCAATACCTCATGATCGAGCGTGGTACTTACCAAGATCTTGCCAAAGCCAACGCCGAGGCTGTTCGTGGTTTGAACCCCAAGATGACGATCTGGAATACTGGTGCACAGGCCGGGGGCAATGGTGAAGGCAGCTCTGCTGAAGGTCAAGGAATCGGTATGGGTGGTATGGATAGTATTCGTAATATGTACCAGATGCTTCCACCACTCATGTCTACCATTCATGAGCAGACTGGCATGACTTTGCCAGAGTGGCAATATGGACGTTTGGGTCCTGTACCCGGAGAGAATCAGGAGGTTACCAAGGTCAATGGTAAGACCAATGGCACTAATGGGTATAGATAAGCGGATCGCGAGGGACTTGGTTTGAGTGATAATTGTTTAGTTGTTAGGGCGTTCCAGGCGCTGGGGGGACTGGAGCGTACATGATGGATATTAGGAAGTTCCGGTGGGCCTGCAGGGATAAGGAGTCATGTTTTCTATAACATTGATCGATGAATCTCTTAGAGATACGTCCAATCTTTTAGCGTGTCATTGTTCGGAGGTATCGATCTCCAAGCGTTTACGTCTCTAGTTGTAAATTCGGCGGAGTTATCACATAGAGGGAGTTGGCCAAGCAGTACCCTGGGGTGGGGGTTCTTTGACACTTCTGGAGTTATAGCGTTTGGATGGTACTTCTGTTATTGTTCTTAGTTATTCAATAGCTTGTTTGTTATCTTAGTCTTCCCTTACTCTATTAATATCAATTCATCACAAATCAAATTCTGAACATGGTTTTCACTCTCGGATGGGGATTTCCCATGCTTTTGAAAAGAATGTGAGAGAAGGAGGGACACAATGGTTCACAGCAAGGAAGGGAGGAAAGAGACGGACTACTGTAAATTATTTCATGGATGTTAATTGTCAAGTACTTTTGTCTTCTTCGTATTTCTCTTCATGTTTAAGTTGCAGTGAAAGCTCTATGATTTATACTTCGTCATTAGAGTTTATGCGAGAAATCTTTGGAAAAGTTTAGGTAACTTTGTTCATTTTCACTCTCAAGCAACCAAAATTCTCCGTAATGCTAAGAGTCTTTGATTGCTATCAGTTTCTAACTTCGTCATTATACAGTGCGCTAGAATATGAAGTTTGAATTCCGCATCTCTCAATCCAAGCGCTCATCATTCGATCGTACGACTTTTCCATTGGGAACGAACAGATGTGGGCAAAGCTTATTGGGCCATCCCCACCTTTGCTAGAAAGTTTAAAAAGTTTTTTAGGATCTAGATTAGTATTCCATACAAACAAATCAAATTTCCCGGGGACAGACTCTTTCTGCAACTGCCATGGGGGAGTTGACAGGTGCTTTTTTAAGCACAGGTCAAATTTGAATGGATGAGAGTGAGGAAAGGGCCGTTGTTTTCAAGGGGGCTCGTCGTTGTAGTAGTAACGTTTGGTTTCTGGTGACGTGCAGTGTATCATTACCAAAAGATTTTGTGGTAGCTTTGCTGGATTCTAGAGAATGATATCGAAGCAGGTGTATCGCGGCTGACTTGATAATATGTAGTGGTTTTGGGAGGAGAAGGAGAGATTTGCGGCATTATTTGCGAGGATTTTGGACCACAGTGCGGCTACAATGCATGAATCTTTCAGCCCTCTAGATTTTACGCTGTAGTCTTGGTGTTGTGAACCATGGGGCAAAAATAGAACTATCATGACTCCCTTAGAATTTTGATCAAGGGAGGAAGAAGAGGTTATAAAGAAAACATGTTTCATAGGTGTCATTCCACCGGCTCAAGAATGGCGTCAACCAAGCTTTAATCTAAATCATTGTTCTATGATCGTAATCTGACCGCAGCCTGAATTGAGCCTGATGCAAAACTAGATCGAATCCTAATCCTATATTTAGTTGAAGGCAGTATTTCAGCCTCCTTTCAAACTTCGGAGAAGGTTTCAATTTGCTTTTTATCTCGACTCAGTTCTTCAGCTGTTAAACTGTCAAAAATGACAAGTGGATGGTTCCAACTGTTGCAACATTTCATAGTGACTTACTTAGTTGTGTGAAAACGGATCGTCTTTCTTTCTCTTTCTTTGCTTTTACCCGAATGCACGAAGGGGGGTAAATTGGAGGGGGTTTACTAAGCAGATTTTTTTCAAATTCACATGATAAAATTGAATACGAAGTGAAAATATGACGTTTGAAGTAGTGTGAAGCTAGTGAGCAGAGCTAAGACAACACCAGCTTCTAATTGGATAATTAACCAAGGTGTATTCCTCATCACCACGTGATACTGCCATGTCTCAAAGAGAAGAGGGTTGATACGAGGAATGGTCTCCTATAACCCCACTTATTAGACAGCACAGCTAATTCTATGGAAAGAGCCCCCTTCAGTCTTTTCTTTCCGTTTCCGTCTTTCACCGCTGATTTTAACAGGCAGAACTTCCCCGTCAATGTCCGTACAAGGAAGCGGTGAACATGTGAATTTCGAAGATATAAGGTTAATATCACCAGCCCGCTTCTACAAGAACCATCATAGCTAGAAGTAAGCGTACCTTAACTTCGCAGTCTGATGTACGAATATGTACGAAGCGTTGTTCATTCAAATAACTCAATATTTGATGCAATGCGGCAGCTTCCTTCATTACCAAAGCACAGCCTCTTAGTGCTAAAGCTAGACTGGCTTCGCCACCGCCGGTGTGGGTATTCGGCGTTCAGCTAATACTTGCCTTGGCCTAACCACCAGCGCCGGCAATCATTTCCGTCTCATGTGAATAAAGGTCCATTTTCAACTACATTCCTTCGTGTTCTTCGTATATCATATCACGAATTTTGGTAACAAATAGGCTTGAATCTCCCACTTTTAATGCTACCCAACTCTATGTCCAGACGACGAGCTCATACCAAGTCTTCAAATGGCTGCGCACAATGCAAAAGGAGGCGGGTAAAGGTCAGTCGGTCTCATTTCTTTACTTGCTGACAATGTTTTTAATTTTCGCTTTCTGTTCTTCTGAAGCACAATTTATGCTTGTACCAGAGTTCCAATAGTCTAGACTGCAGTCCGATAACAAGATGTTTGACATTTCAGAATTCAAACAGCACGTTCCAGTGGCACGAATTGTTTAAATCATTTGAGCAGTGAACTGCTTTTAAACATCGAGGTACCTCTGGCACCAAAAGCCTCCTCTCAGTCTAGTCGGGATTACTGGATGTTCTGTTCGGAATGTTCGGATGAAACATTTGACTTGCTGCATTGTTACACCGAGCTGTCGCTGATATGCAAAATTTCAGTGCGACGAAACACGGCCGTCATGTGCAATTTGTGCAAGAAGAGGTGAACCATGCAGTTACCTTTCGCAGCCATCAAATCAGACACAAGGCAATTTGCTTGCTGGATTCTCGGCTCAGACCTCACCCACAACATCTGAGTTCGAAGTTGATAACAATAGGGCTCTAGAGCTAAGATTGATGCATCAATATTCAACCTCTACATCCGTCGTTCTTTCCAAAGACTCGAGAGATATAATGTTTTACTCCGATGTTATGGTCCATCACGCAATTTCAAACACATTTCTGCTTCATTCCATTTTAGCCTCCGCCGCTATTCACATGTCGACTATTGAGACTGACAAATCACAATATTGGGTTGCTACTGCCCTGCAGTATCACAGTCGTGCATCACTTGGTCTCAATGAAGCTTTAAAGAATTACTCATCTGCTTCAGATGCGATATCTCTATGTTCCCTGACCATGGTTATAAATTCTTTATCTTTGTCGAGAGAGAGATTGGGAGGCGAAGAAATTGATCCTGTGGCTGAGTTGGTTCAAATACGCAAATTACTTCAGGGGCTCTCAGTCTGCTTAGACCAAACAATAGGGGGTAACTTGTGGAGCGGTTCTTTCGAGGCTTGGAGGGATCAATTGATCCTGAAATCATCCAATCCGAAAGACACGGTTCATAGGGACCTTCTCACACATATTGATAACACAAATTCCATTTTTGGGCACATGGGTATATTTTTGAGCCAGCACGAGAAGTTTCCAGAATATCAATCCAAAAATGAAGAATTCATCCAGTATGTATAAAGTTTATCTGGTCCCAAATGTAGGACTTGACTAGGCTGTTCACTGACTTCAAAAACAGGACGATACTGCATAAGACGAATGAAATGGCTACATACATAGCTTCTATTGAAAGTGAACATAAGACTGAATACATCAATGCTTATACATCACTCTTATCATACATGGAAATTTTTCGAATAGAACAGGGCGCTACCATCATAGCATGGCCACTGGCAGCCAGCAATTTTCTGGTATCCCTTTTAATGAACGGTGATGACATAGCAATGCTAATATTTATGCACTATGGAGTAGCGCTATATTTATGCAACTTACATAGTTTTTCGAAAGGCGCCGGAAAGCATTTGGTAGAGAAATTATCGCTAGCACTCGAGGCAAAACGTCCAGAATGGATCGAGGTGCTTCTCTGGGCAAGGGCCTCTGTTTTACGGGATATGTAGGCGTTGCTTTTGTTACCTTCAGATGTCTCAAATCTTTCTTACTGTATTTGTGTATTATAATTTTACATTGTTTGGCCATAAAAAAGGCTAAAACTTTATGAGAATAACTTTCTAGTATCTCTTCGGCCTTCCGCTGAGGTCGAAGATAATGAGCCACAAAGCAATAGAATATGATAATCGACGTGATCCCTTCTTCAATCGTGCGAACAGCCAGCCGCACTCCTTCAGCCTCAAGTGTTAATCATGGGTGTTGGAAGTAATTGGATCTTCGTCTCTCAACTATCTCCTGTCAAAATCACCTTCCACCCACTCCTTACCTTACCTCGCCAACTCAGACCCACGTTAGCATATGCAGGCATATGCAGGCATCTGCATTTCCCCGGTTCCCCTTTTCATCTTCATGCCCAGACCCACACTCCTCTCAACAATCCATTTAACACAGCAATAGACAGACTGAAAACCCTCTTTATCCGATCTAAGTTTGACACTAAAAGGTCAACTTCGACTTGGTCAATTTCTTCTCTACTTTTTGGATTCTCAAAGACAAGAATTCTTGCTTGTATTCTTCAACCGAGGCTCTATGGATGCGAAGATTGAATATCGGGATGAACTATATCAATGAGTGATTACTGAGAGTTAGGTTAGATGGCGGAACAGTTCTCCTCATGAGTTTCGAGGTGGACAAGGTATAAAGAATACAAAAGAGGTAGAAGAGATTGGAGGAATATGATGGTAGTTCGAGTGATGAAGTTTCAGTGGAAAGCTTTTGTGAGAATTGGAATGATTTTCTTTATTCAAGACCTTATGATACGAGATATCTCGGCACGAATTTGATCATAAGTCTTATAAGAGCTCTAGTCCCTTGGTAAGGAAATAAATCCCGCGATCTTCTGATTTTGAACCTGAAGAAGACTTTGTGAAGCCGGACTTAATGCTACTAGCTACCAGCTTCAGGAGCAAAAAATGAGTGATAAGACCGGATTAACTTGGCTCTTTTTACATGCATATCAAAGACTTTGATATGTTTTGGATGTATGTATGGATTTCTACGATGGTGGGTACATTCTGCCAAGTAGGAAGTCTGAGATAGGTCGATAGTACCAGGGATGATAGTTCTCCTAAGTGACTTTTTCAGATGTATATTCTATAATTACCGATTACATTCTCGCAAGACTAATGCTGTCCAAGCACAATTCAGATAGTAGATGGTTCAATATTCTAGTTTTGCACAGTACGAATAGGTGATTAGAGCAGCCTTAAATTAAAGCTGCTTTTATTTCTAGCAACCTCTATGTTGAATGTCTACCTTCGATAGCGGGCATTGCATGTTTCTTGTCTTGGAGACATGTTAAGGAATCTCGCCGACTCGGCACTAACTCGCGGAACTGACGATTCGCAGTCTTGCGAATCCTTATGTTGCATATCTACATTTTCATCTTACAAGCTTCACCCTTACAAGCTGAACCCGATAACATAGGCCGTCAAGAATGAACAATCTAGTTCATAAGCTGGCTCATATTTGACTCATTAGTTCAAGCATATTTTCAAACGTCCTCTAAGATTTGACCACTCATGAGGTCTTAAAAGGTTGTGTTGCATATCTGATATTCCGTGCGACAGGCTATATCTCTACGAGTTCATTTTTGACCAATTGACATTCAGGTTAATAGGATCCGGCTCATTGGCAAACTTACTACTCCCGAATTTAAATAGGTAGAACATCACCGGTGCTCCCTATACAGCCACTCACAGTCTTGGAATTATCATTGTTGCACATCTTATATCCTATTTTACAAGCTTCATGCCTACAAACTACAGATGATGGTGTGCAGAGTGGGTTTAATGGAAGTAGGAAGCCAGTAGTGGAGACTTATCAGTGAAGAGGCCGATTCCAGATTCTGGTAGACGCATGTAAATAAGGTTCTCTGTCACTCATTGATTATAGGCTAGGCCGAGAAACTGTCAAGTAGCAACTTTAGTATAAGTTACACTATCTATCCAAACGATAGTTATTTCTATTTGCAGAAAATGTATCGACTAGTGAACAATGCATTAAATCCTAGTTGTGAAGTCTCATGGTAAAATCATCTACATCGATAGCAAGTGCGGCAGTCATTGATTCCTAGTCAAGAAGTCACACAATCTAACTTTGCAAGGTTGAAATTCTAGCTTTAATCTCCAGACATTGTGAAAAAAGCGCTCCCATACCAATTAATTAGGAATTATTTGGATGAAAATTGACTTCAGATGACTCATTTCCTTCCGATAATTTTGAATATGTATTACTTGTCAGCTATTCATAATATGACCAATCACTTGTAGGTGGTTAATAGTATCAATTCTGATCTATAGTGGTTTTTATATAATAAAATTATTTTATAAACTAATAATAAATCAATTATATATTTAATTAAAGAAATAAAAAGATAAAAATATTTATTAAAATAGTTTCAATATAATTATTAAATATAATTATTTTAATAATAATATTGAAAGTATAGATATAAAATTAGTAGTGAATTAGATTGTATTCAAAATTTCAGGATTGAAAAAATAATATTTTTATTTTATAATTCAAATCTTATTACTATAATTCTATTTTGAGATCTATAATCGAATTGCTTATTATATTGAAATCCAAAAAGCGAAAATCTAATATATAGTGATTACAAAAGAAAGTTTTTGAATTATAAAAATTATTTTAATATAAAATATAGTTTTATAAGGATAAAAAAAATCGAATAAAGGAGGCTATTAAAGCTTAGCTCGATTTAAAGGATATAGAACTATCTAGTCTTTATATTATCTATAAGATATTCAATATTGTATATTCAATTATATATATTCAATATAATAGTATCAAAACTTTTATTATTAATAATAATGTTAATATACAATTAGATAAATTACAAAAAGCTTGCCTTATCAATTATATTGATAGATTGATTGAGTTCAATTATTTTTTAAGATATAATTATATAATTAAAGTTACTATTTCTATATTGAAAGTTTCTAGAATAGATACAATTCTATTAAAAAATCAATTAAGAAATATTTAGATATTAAGATGGGTCAAAAAACAAAAATCATTAGATTGATATCATACTTTTATAATAAAACCAATGAAAAAAAAATGTAAGGAAATTTATATGACCGAGAATATTGATTAATATTTTATAAATTTAAAGATAATTGGGGAGTAATATAAGATTAAATCTAAGAATAAATATAATTATAATAAAACCGATATATAAATAGAATATATTATTAACTTTTGTATTATTATTTATAAGAATATTAAAGAGGTTTATATTAAAGATTTTGTAGAAAGAGAGTCTATTATTGTTATTGAAATTATCTCTATAATTGATAAAGTGATAGTTTTAATGATTATTATATTAACTAAGATTTTCTAAGAAAAGCTATTCAATAATAATTTGGATTTTGATATTCTATTTCCTATTAATAAGAATAGCTATATTGATAATAAATTTACTATTAAATATATATAATATTTTTATAAACAAATTAAAAGGTTTAAAATGGAAAATATAGAATACTAATATTTGATAATTATAGTTTTATATAATTTATAAATATGTATCAATATATAAATAGCTCAAAATCATACCTTTTTATTTTCTATTATATTCAATATATTTTCTACAATCTTTCGATATTGCTTGTTTTGATATATTTAAATACTAGTATAAGTATTCTATTGAGAATAGAAAGCATATTGGAAAAGACAATTTTAGCAAAGTAACATTTTTAAATATTCTTATAGAAATTCGATAAAAAAAATTTCAAAAAAAAGATTATCAAAGTTGTATTTTATAAATCTAATATATAATCTTATAATCTAGAATTTATAAAAAAAAATCTCAAATTTATTGAGAATATAAAAATCAATATAAAGAAGATTAATAATCAATTTTATAATACAATTTCAAAAGATTTGATTAATATAGTATATACCGATCTTTAATAATTCTTTTAATAAAATTGAAAAAGAATTTTATATTATTTGATAATAGTAAAGCGGAGATAATGTATTAGAGATATTAGGGGATAATAATTTGAAAGAAGATAATTTATAAAATCTATTATTAGATGATAATGAATACAAAGATAGAGAGAATTTTAGCAATTTATTATTTAATAATAATTTAATAGATTTTAGAGATTCAAATTATTATATATTTATACCTTTTGATATAAAATGGTGTTAGGATTGATCCATTTTACCACTAACCCACAAAAGTGTGGAGTATGTCACGGTCAATCCGTGTAAGGGCTGGCGAGGGCACGTGAGTAGCCCCTGCGGGGCTACTTCGGGCCGACGCCAACCCGCGCACAATTATAAATTGTAGAATTTTCATAGTTTAGAAGGATTAATGAAAAGTCTTTGTGCTACATTACACCTAGTTGATTCATTGCTATTATCTACTCTAACAATTCTTTTCATTCCCCTATATAGAGCAATCCGTCAACTATTTCTTAGTCGAGCAACCATCGGTACCACTATGGTTTCAACAAGAAGAACACCTGTCCCAAGGGGAGAGCGGGATACCCGCAGTGCGACTCAAGACCAATCCGGTGAAACTATCGATCAATTCCTGCAGAGTATCGGCAGCGATGCCCACTCGGCCCAATTGCACCCCCCTGGTGACAACGAGGATGTGTCGTTGGCCCAACAACTTAAAGAAATGAAAGAAGAAATGGCAGCTATGAGAGAGGCTCACAGGGTGGCTATGGACCGCATCTTATATGCAACCACCCCGGTCGAGCATAACCGACCCGCAGCCGTACCGAATGCAACCCACCAGGGTACCAACCTTGATCGGGGAAAACCACCGAAGTTGCAGAGATTGAAACAATACGAAGGAAAGAATATCGAGGAAGCTAAGAACTTCTTCTTCCAGGCAGAAATCATGTTTCGAAGCGACGGTGGGTACCATTTTCCCACCGATACTAAGAAAATAGAACATGTCATCCAA